AAAATATATTCAGACATGGGTTTAAAAAAATCCTATGAAAAAAAAAGGCAGCCTGGGTGGCTCAGCAGTTTAGTGCCACCTTCAGCCCAGGGTGTGATCCTGGAGACCTAGAATCGAGTCCCACATCGGGCTCCCTGCATGGAGCCTGCTTCTCCCTCTGCCTATGTCTCTGCCCCACCCTCTCTGTCTCTAATAGATAAATAATTAAATCTTTAAAAAAAAATCATATCGGAGGTGGGGAAGATTGGCCTATGGAAATGATCACCAAAACCTACAAAGGAGACCTGGGCCTTGGGCTCCCAGAGAAAAAGAAGGAAAAGAAAAAGGTGGTCAAAGAACCAGAGACTCAATACTCAGTTTTAAACAGTGATTCTTATTTCGGTAAGATCTATTCCACAAGAGCCATATCCCCCTTGAAGAGTGTGGTCCTAGAGCAGGCATCTGAGATGCCATTAGTGAAGAAAAAGAAGAAAAAGAAGGGCCACAGCACCCTCTGTGAGGAGTGCCTAGAACCTGAGACTGTGTTACGTGCTGGACGGACAAGGAAGTTGTCCAGCCCCAGGAAGCAGGCTCTTGGTTCATCTGAGCTCCAAGGTGGGGAGAAGAAAAAGAAGAGAAAGTCCTTATGGCCTCTGGCCATGCCCCTGCCTCAAGAGTGAAGACCCCCCCCCCCCCAGACCCCAGAGAGGATGAGGAGGTGACCAGAGTTAGCAAGAAACCCAAAAAACACAAGAAGGAAAAAAAGACCCAGGAGGCTACAGCCTCCTCAGCCAAGGACCCTTGGTTCTGTGAGTCTGGGGATGCTCTATACACTTGTTCAGTGGGGAAGGATGGCGAGGAGCAGGCAACCTCAGGGCAGAAACTAAAGCAGGGGAGCCCCAGAGAATGCAATGTGAAGATGAAAAAGAAATAGAAAATCCACCAGAAGGGAGATACTGCTCTGGGGCACCTTGAGTGCTCCAAGTCCATAGGGAGAAGCCCTAGGAAGGGAAGTAAGAAGCCAGTCAAAACTGAGCCTCCAGCATATATCCCAATAGGACATAACCCCAAACCCCCTGCAAAGAAGAAAATGAAGTCCAAGAAAAAGAGCAGCCAGGGATTGAGGAACCAGCTCTGAAGAGGAATAAAAACAAGGGGAGAGAAGAGTAGCAGGAGAATCTTGGGAAGAAGAGCCTGACACAGACTTAGAGGCGGTGTTGGAAAAGAAAGGCAACATGGATGAGGCGCACCTAGACCAGGTGAGGCGAAAGGCCTTGCAAGAAGAGATCGATTGTGAGTCAGGCAAAACCAGAAGTTTCTGAACCAAAGAAGTGGACAGGAACTCAGTTTGGCCAGTGGGATACTGCTGGTTTTGAATTTTTTTTTAATTTATTTATTTATGATAGTCACACAGAGAGAGAGAGAGAGAGGCAGAGACATAGGCAGAGGGAGAAGCAGGCTCCATGCACCGGGAGCCCGATATGGGATTCGATCCCGGGTCCCCAGGATCGCGCCCTGAGCCAAAGGCAAGCGCCAAACCGCTGCGCCACCCAGGGATCCTGATACTGCTGGTTTTGAAAACGAGAAACAGAAACTGAAATTTCTCAAACTTATGGGTGGCTTTAAAAACGTGTCCCCTTCACTCAGCCGCCCCCCTAATACAACTGGAAGGCCCAACGTGGGTCTCAACAAGAAGGCAGCCAATGCCCTGGAGCAGAACCTGCAGCAGGACTATGACCGGGCCATGAGTTGGAAGTACAGGCGTGGTGCTGGCCTCGGCTTCTCCTCCACTCCAGACAAAATCTTTTGTATTGACAGGAATGCTTCCAAGTCCATCAAGTTTGAAGATTAAAGTCTACTGTCTAGTCCTTCAAAACACCCAAAATTGCTTTTATTATTCAGTTATGCAGTTGGAAGCCATCTGACAACTGTCTCAAATCACACCTCTGCAGAGATTAAGGAAAACTACGTCCATGTGCTTAGATGAACTGGGGTCAGGGAGCTCATGTTTTAGAAGCCAAGAGAACATATGAGTGGCTGACACCTCCTATTTTCTGTATTAAGATTCCATCCCTGTTTGAAGACAGCATATAAAAATAATAGCTGAATTTGCTGAGTGCTTAGTATGTGCCAGGTACGTACTACTGTGTTTCCTTTGCGTTAATGTAGTTAGTAATTATGAAATAGGTGCTATTATCCCCATCTTACTGATGAGGAAACTGAGGTTCAGGAATGTAGTAATAAAATTGGCTGGGTTCACTAAAAAAAAAAATCAAAAATTAAAAAATTTTAAAAAATCATATCACACTTGTACATACATAAGGAAAAAAAACAGAAATTAAAGTATTTCTAAAACTTCCTGTCATTTAGTGTTCTGAATGCTCTGAACCATACATAATAAATTTTAATTGTAAAAACCAACATAACATAAAAATTACCATCTTAACCACTTTTTAAAAAGGTTTAATTTAAAAAAAATAAAATAAAAAGTTTTAATTTTTAAGCAATCTCTACACCCAACTTGGGCTTGAACCCACAACCCCAAGATCAAGAGCTGCATGCCCTTGCAACTGGGTCAGCCAGGTGCCCCCCATATTAACCATTTTTAAGGAGACAGTTCAGTAGTTTAAATATATGTTCACATTGTTGTGCAACTGATCTCCAGAACCTTTTTCTTTAGTAAAACTGAAACTCTCTACCCATTGAACAACTCCCCATTATCCCCCCTCCCTCTGCCCCTGTAACCACCATTCTATTTTCTGCTTCTATGAGTTTGACTACTTCAGATATCTCACATAAGTGGAATCGTGCTGCATTTGTCTTTTTGCGACTGGCTTATTTCACTTGGCATAGTGTCCTCGAGGTTCATTCGTGTTGTACCATGCGTCAGGACTTCCTGCTCAATGAAGTAAGTTTTGTGGAGAGAGAAAAACACATCTCCTGTAACAAGCAACAGGGAAAACATGATTCACTCTGAAACCCTGGATCAAAAATGTTAAATAAGTGTTAAGCCCAAACCTGAGGACGGAAAAGACAGAAAAGGCGTCTCCCACTTTGGCAAGAATTCAATAAATAAAACCAGCTTAGATGCAAGAGAAATAACATGCCAAATGTGTATTATCCTTGGGGGTTTCATGGCAAGTAAACTTACTGGCAATATAGCAAATATCAAAAAATAACTGCTCAGTCAACATTGTTAAGTTGAAGTGCCAGCCCTTAGTTTTCCCAAAGGGCTCTTAAGTGAATGTGTCTGATGCTAGAGCCCAGGTTTTAGCTGCCTTAGTCTGGTTGTTATGTTGTGATCTGCAAATTTCCCAGTTCCGTTTCCAGGCTTTGCCTTCACACCATAAAACCCAGCACAGGGATGAGGGGAAAGTGGTTGCTTGTATAAGCCTGAATTGGTAAGGGAAGCTGCAGTACTTGTTGGAGTTGTATAGAGAGAGGAGTTTCCTGAACACATATTAGGAAAAAAAAAAAAAGGATGTTTTCAGAGTGAGCGTGGTCACCTACTGCTTAGCCACTGTATGTTAAGACACGTGCAAATGCTTTCTGCTTGGCACTCACACGTCTGCTTGCTCCTTTTTACCTCCCTGGCTTCCTCCCTGTTGTTCCTTACCCTTGCCTTTCTTGTCTCTCTGCCTGCCTTCTGCTGAACTTCTGTTTCCTCTTCTGTCCCCTCGAGTCCTGAGTCCTGCGTCCTAGGTTGTGTCTCCCCACCCCACCCCAACAGAGGACCTGGAGGGGCCTCACGAGCTGACTGGGGTTCCACTTGGGTCAATCACCACATCCTGGAGCCCCAACCAGCAGTGTGTGCTTAAGACCTGGGAACTGATGTCAGAGCCTTTAGTGGGGGGAAAGTGAAACCACTTAGTGGGGATGGCACTCCAGAGAATGGCTCTGTGTCAATCTCCGAAAGGTACAATTGCACAAAAATGACCACGGAGGTAAATGTTGGGTGGGGGCTGAGGACCTGCAAAAGGACAAGAACCCATGAGGTGATGGTGGAATCAGGATGGGGCAGCCGAGGTCTGCTGGTTGTGGCTGGGTTCACTGGGCAGTGGTCTTTTCTTCTTTGCCACCTAACCCACTGAGCCTTGGTCAGCTGTGGGGCTGCAGCGGGGGGCAACTGTCTAGTTCCATTGTTGTCTGTTCCTGGGTGAACCTGGCCTGCACCCTGCTCTAATTTGGAAAGAAAACATAGGGACACCTGGGTGGCCCAATGGTTGAGCATCTGCCTTTGGCTCAGGTCATGATTCTGGGGTCCTGGGATCGAGTCCCACATCAGGCTCCCCTGCAGGGAGCCTCCTTCTCCCTCTGCCTATGTCTCTGTCTCTCATGAATAAATAAATAAAATCTTTTTTTAAAAAAAAGGAAAAGATAATGTAAAAAGAAAAAGATGCCAGATAGTGACTTCTAAAGTCGTACTCAAGGTGTACAGAATATTCCATCTCCCTGGCATGGAGGTGGGCTCTCCAAGGTCATGTATAAGAGCCCCTGTACAAAACATTCTTGAGTCATTCTAGGACATAGTATTACAGAAAGACCTGTTTTATAGAGAAGAAGCCAAGAACATTGTAATTTCAAGGATATCTATTAGGCTCTGGCCCAAGGACAGCATCTAAATTTTATTAACAAAATCTAAAATTCCATTGACAGTTTATCCCCAGGTTAAATATTCATTCCTCCCTTAAAATGTAAGCAAATCCCAGGAGATTGACCCTTAAGAATCTTTAGCCTCAAATCACACCAGACCCATTCCTCACCTCCGTCCCCCATGTCTTTTGCTCTAAATGAACCAGAATTCCCTGCTGGAGCCAACCCTTGGCTTTCTCCAGCCTTCACCCCTGCAGACTTTTGAGTTTGTTTTTTTTTTCTTACTGGGACACTCTTCCCTCTCTTCTCTCTTTTAACTAGCTCCCCTTTCTTCAAAACCCAGGTTCAAAGTCTGTTCTCCAAGGCAAGCAGAGTCCAACCGAGACCTCCCTGACTACTTGGCTCTCTCCTCCCTGGTGGCCCTTGTGTGCTCTCTGGCTTACACGCCCAGCTGCCCACCAGGTTAAATTTCCATCAAAGACAGGAGCTGCGTGGAAGGAGCCACGATGTCCTTCGACAGATGAATGGAAAAGGAAGCTGTGATCTACATATACAGTGGAACATTGCTCAGCCATCAGAAAGGATGAATACCCACCATTTGCTTCAACGTGGATGGAACTGGAGGGTATGATGCTGAGTGAAATAAGTCAATCAGAGAAGGACAATCATCATATGGTTTCACTCATGTGAAATATAAGAAATAGTGAAAGGGTTATAAGGGAAAGGAGGGGAACTGAGTGGGAAAAATGAGAGCGGGAGACAAACCATGAGAGACTCCTAACTCGGGAAACAAAGGGTTGTGGAAGGGGAGGCGGGTGGGGGGTTGGGATGACTGGGTGATGGGCTTGAGGAGGGCACTTGAGGAGATGAGCACTGGGTGTTATACTCCATGTTGGGAAATCAAATTTAAATTGTAAAAAATGTTAAAAAATTAAAACATAAAAAAACAAAACAAAACAAATGACAGGAGCTGTGTCTTGTTCAACATCGAATCTCCCATCTAGCACAGTATCTGACCCGGAGCAGGTTCTGGTTATGGAGTGAGTGAATGTCTTATCGCCAATGTGTTTTTTTCATGGGGTGGTGGTGGTGAGGGCCAGAGTGGAAACAGGGCAGATGCCAGGAGCAGTCAGTGAAGAGAGGAGGCTGGCCTCTCTGGAGGCAGACTCCCCCGGGTGATAGTTCTGCCAAGGGCCAGACAGTTGAGAGGCATGCTGAATCCTCGTTAACTACCATCCCTTGAAGGTGACTATAATTGACTGCTGAAATTTCAAATGTATTGACACATTTGATGCATTTGCCAAAGTGGTTTTTAGCGACCTGTATCTCACACAATAAAATAGGGCAAAGTTAAAAACTGAGTTTGCTTTAGATTTGTATCTGCCACCATCTGTTGGTTCCCGGATCCGGGGTTATGTCATTCTTATTTTTACATTAAACATTACCAGGAAAAAAAAAGGAAAGGAAAGGGGGGGATAAAAACTCATGTAGGGAAATTCTGATTTCACACAGGCTTGACAGCGTCTCTTTCTTCTCAGTGATCCTAGACACAGAAGACAACAGGAAGATGTCTTACTGAGAAAGACCCCCTTCAATTTGACCATGAGTCAAACAAGGAAGCAAAATTCCTCAAATGGAGAAACTAAACCCCGGACTTCATTTGTGAACAAATTCTTCAGGGGCTCAAAACTCATGTCCTCCAAAGCTGGGAGCAGAAAAGGAACCAATGACCTTGAAACTGATTTCCAACCCAGCAACGACGTAAAGGAAACAACCACCTTAGATACTGGTAAACTTCTGACTTTTATTTATTTATTTATTTTATTTTATTTATTTTATTTTATTTATTTTATTTTATTTTATTTTATTTTTAGAACAATCTTTTCCCCTAGAAAAGACCATCTGGGTTAAGCCAAACCTAATAGGAGTCTCTATTCTAAGCATTCTAATCACTTTAAATACTTTGCTAATTTTCCTTTTAAATTATCAAAAATAATGTAACACTACAGGAAAGTTAGAGAAAAATACCTTGTTTCCTTTCATTCTAACACAAATGATCACTTCTTCAAGATTCTTTTCAGTCTTTTGTTCATATGCACGCGTTTGTGGTCCATCAGCCAATCAACAAACATTGAGCACCTACTGTATGCCAGCCACTGTTGTATTAGAAATGCAGCCACAAAAAACGGGGCCTCATGTATACAAGGAACTGAACACAAACATAATTTCAGTGTGATAAGTGATATGAAGAAAAATAAAGCAGGCTAAGGAGACAGAGAATGATGGATGGGCTATACTCCAGATGGAGAGTACGGGGAAGGAGTCTCTGATTTGGTGGCATTTGAGCAGAAATCCGAATAAAGTAAGCTGAGTAGAATGAATGAATAAAGCCAGTCACATAAATGTTGGCGGCAATAGCTTCCCAGGCAGAGGGAACTGTAAATGCAAAGGTCCAAGGTGGGACTGGGCCTGGCATGCTTGGGAGTGAGCCCTTCCATGGTCAAGGGTGTTGAAGTAAGATGAGAAAGGATGAAGGCCAAGAGTAGTAGGACAAGTCACAGAGGTTCGTCGGAGCCAAAGTGGACATCTTTTGCAATTAAAATAGCTTACAAATCCCTCTTGAGCTTACGTGGAACTCTGATCCCACTTCTAGAACATATTATTATACTGCTGAATCCCCACATGGCAGATACACAGAGAATGACGTTCATGTGCCCAATTGTGACAGCTGCATAATACTCCATCCCATGCGTTTGCCATAATTACTTAGGTTTCTTTTTGGTCCTTCAGTGAATATTTTTGTCTTCCCCTCCGGCTTATTCCCTGCTTCACTGTATTTCAGCCTTTTTTTTTTTAGTATGAATTTTTAGAACAGAGATGACAAATTCAAGGGTTAGGAAAAATCAATGTTGCCAAAGCTATGTGTCATATACAACGTCGTTACTATATTATCTGTGAGATTAAATGTATTTTTTAAACATGTTAAACTTTTTATGCAAACATACAGAGAAGTAGAGAGAATAGTAGAAGGACTCCCCATGATCACCTCCCTCTAACAATTACCAACCCATGGTCAATCTTTTTTTTTTTTTTTTAAGATTTTATTCATCCATTCATGAAAGACACAGAGAGAGAGAGAGAGAGAGATGCAGAGACACAGGCAGAGGGAGAAGCAGGCTCCATGCAGGGAGCCCGACGTGGGACTCGATCCCGGGTCTCCAGGATCACGCCCTGGCAGCACTAAACTGCTGAGCCACCCAGGCTGCCCCCCATGGTCAATCTTGTTTCATTTATACCTGCTCTCATTTCTGTCAAATTATTTGTATCAAATACCAAAAATAATATCGTTATAATACGTGAAAGTAAATTGAGTATATTTTAAATATATTTTGGAAATAGGAAGTTAAAGTCTACTTTAAAAAAAGAAAAGGACAACCTCTATCAGAAAATTGTTGATATTTGTTCTAAAGTAAGAATTGAACCTTCCGGAACATGGTTCATGAATACCCACAATCATGATTAAATTAGCAGTGCAAGGCCAGGCACTGGTTATCCCGGCTGGGCAACACTGGCCATTCAACCATGTTTATGGCTTCTCCATTTCCATTTTTCCCAAAATTCAGTGGCTCCTGGAGTCCTGTTAATTTTGCCCCCAAAATGGTTCTTGGAGCTGGGTCTTCCTCTTCGTTGCTGTTCTGGACTTCATTGTTTTTTTTGCCTGGACCACTGGGACAGCCTCCTGACTGGTTTCTCCACTTCCCCCCTTGCCCTCTTGCCAACTTGTCCTCCACAGCGCCACGGGGTTCTCTTTCTAAGTCACAGACAGGATGTTTTTCACCCGCTTAAAATCTTTCCCTGAAGTCTTTCTTGCCTTGATGAGAAAGTCTCCACTCCCAAGTGTGGTCTTCAAGGTGTTTGCGATCAGATGGATCTCTCTTCATGACCTCTGCCTCCCCCTAACCTCATGTTCACCCTCTACTCCTGACTTCAGATATACCTGCAGTTTCCTGAAGTGGCCTTATTCTTCCTAAGGGGTTTCCTGCGCCTACAAAGACCTTCCCTCATGTCACCATCCTCCTCCCACATCCCTCCCCCACTTCTCCCTCCTTCATGTCCACCCCACCTGGCTGACTCTTGCTCACCCTTAGGGTACGATTCAAGTACCCCTTTCTCTTACAAGCTTGCCAAGACCTGCCCACGGGGCCTGAGGTACTTATTGTTACTACCGTGTGTCACCATGCACACCCTCTGCACACTTCCACCATTGCACGTCCCCTCTGTCTTGTGAGTATGGCTTCCTTGTCTGTCTCTTCCATTAGATAGGCAGCTCCTTGAAAACAGGAACTTGTTATCTTGGTTCCCTGTACAGCACCACCCAGTTACAAACATGTAATAATGTTTTATGAAACCACTGGGATTCTTGGTCATTTATAACCCAGATACCCGCCCTTATAGATTTGAGTTGGAAAAGAACTTAATGTGAGGATACTGCTTAGCTCACAGAATTGCATGGAGAAGGCAAAGGCTTGGCTCAGCAGGACAGCAGCCAGGAAAAGGCCCTGAATCACTCATCCAAACTGCTCACATGTGAAAACTTTGAACTCTCCATGGAGTGCCAGTCATCCTACCTCAGCCAACTGGTAGCAACTCTGTCTCAATTGTTTTATATCTTCAGCTGTGACATAAGCTATCCTTTGAAGAAAGGGTTTTATGTATAAAAAAAAAAAGAAAAGAAAAAAGAAATATATGGTCTATAAGGACATGTCCAGGGATCTCATGAATTGACGCTCATATTTATACTCAGGCATCTGATAAAGGTTTATCATGTTGATTTTGGTGATTAAGGAGCTTTAAAGGTAATAATCATTCATTCAAGTATTTGTGCATTCGGTAAATATTTACAAAGTACCTCTCATATAAAAGGCACTGCAGAGACCCATCTCCCTGGGAGGCCCCAGTAAATGAGAAGTGAACCAGGCGGGAATTATAGTCTCTTTTATAGACGAGTAAACCAAGGCTCAGAGAAGTTAAGTGACTTGCTCACCCGAGGGACCCATGATTTGAGCCAGGTCTTCCATGTGCACTGTCTGAGATTTGCCAATCATGGCAAACGTTACAGAGCACCCAAGTCGGATGTGGTCTGAGGAGATTCCTGAATCTATCAATTGGTAGGTCACTGCTGGTGACCTCTGAGAAATTATTTGTTTGGACCGGTAAATGCGGCCACCAGAACATAGAGGGTTAATTGGTGAATGTGGTGAAGGGGGCCCAGCAAGTACAAACCACTGTTTCCAAACATCTGACAGTAATCATTTCCTAATGACAGACAAAACAGTAGCTTGAGGAGAAAACAAAGACGCTTTAGTGAGGCTGGAACTTGAGCTTGATTGTAGGTTGAGCCTACGGAGATAAAAAGCTGGAAAACAGAAGACAGAAACCATCCAGTACCATGTGGAGAGATTTTTTTTTTTTTAAACACAAATATTTAAACATACACCCATCCATATAATGGGCTTTGGAGCAGACTGTCCTGGGTTCAAATTCTGACTCTGCTACTTCCTAATTAACAGTCGTTCTGTCTCAGGTTCCAAATCTATGAAATAGTGTGATTGTGACTGCTTGCATTAAGTTCACAGGAAATGCCCTGTTCTCACTGGCCGTGTAAGAGTAAGTTACCCACCCTTCACCCCAAAACCACCACCCTCTTGGGCTCTACCCAAAATTAGAGTTGCCAGATAGAACACATGCAGTATTTGGAACAGACTTTTACTAAGCAATGATTCCTTGTTTACTCGAAGTTGAAATTTAATTGGACAGGCTGTTTTTGTTTTTCCTACATCTGGCAACCTTCCCCAACATAAAATTACGTCTGTCGTGTCCAGTGCACGATACAGATGGAAGGCCGGAGGGAAGAGGTAAAACGGTGGGTGGTGCTGCCTCTTACTGGCAGACTGTGGCAACACCAGCCACCCCTGCAAAGATGTGCACCCTGAAGGTGTTTCCTGAAAAATAGCCACCAGGACACCCTGGGAGGAGAGGTAGAGTTTTTATTATTCCCTAATATTTAAGTCAACATGGATTACTACTGAAATCCCCCTATTAGTTTTCTCTGGTTCTTAGTAGATTTCTTTTTTTAGCTGTGTGGTGCTGCCCTTTGTCAGGGTCAGGAGAGTATCACTGCACATTCGGGACTGACACTTTCATATTGAATTCCAGTATATTCTTTTTTTAAAATATTTTATTTATTTGAGGAAGAGAGACAGAGACAGAAAGAGACAGAGACAGAGAGAGAGAGGACACAGCGGAGGGAGAGGGAGAAGCCGACTCCCTGCTGAGCAGGGCCCCAGGGCCCCAGGGTCATGACCTGAGCCAAAGGCAGACCCTTAACCACTGAGCCCCCCCGGGGGCGTCCCCAGTACACTCTTTTATATGTTTTAATTATACATTTTCATCTCTAAAACCTCCTTGAAGTTACTGTCAGTACCTGCAGGTTCATCCTTCCTTACAAAACTGTGATGTGTCTTACATGTGTCTTACGTGCGGGCCGGTGGAGTAGGAGGCCACTGGCGCTAACAGGTGCTCAGCGCAAGTAAGGCTTCCCCTGCCCGGTGCCACCGGCCGTGGAGCGCTGCACCCAGAAGTCGGCGAGGGCCGCCGCGTGGTCTCCAGCAGCAGGAAGGCCCAACGAGGCTTTCTTTTTTCTTTTTTTTAAAGATCTACTTATTTATTTAGTCATGATAGACATAGAGGGAGAGAGAGAGACAGAGAGACAGAGAGAGGCAGAGACCCAGGCAGAGGGAGAAGCAGGCTCCCTGCAGGGAGCCCCATGCAGGACTCAGTCCTGGGTCTCCAGGATCACACCCTGGGCCAAAGGCGGGTGCCAAATCGCTGAGCCCTCCAGGGATCCCCCCCAATGAGGCCTTCTGAGCGCGTGCTCCAGCAGGGACGGAGACACCCCCCTCCCGCACCCCTCTTCCTGGGCCTGTCAGCTGCACGGGGCAGGGGACGGGGCAGCTGTCATCGGCTCCCCGTGGCAGCTGGGGCTCCCCGTGGCAGCTGGGGCTCCCTGGCAGGGATCGCAGCGCCTGCCCTTCTTCCCCTGTTTGGTCAAATGCCTGCGATCCCCATGTCAGCAGGTGCCAGACGCGTCTGTGTGTCCAGCGGGGCGCTGGGCCTCGAGGCCGTGCTGCCCGGTGTCCCCCTCCGGCCGGGACCGGCGCCGCCCGCAGGCCGAGGAGGCCAGGCCACGAAGGCAGAGCCCTGAGCTCCTCGGGTCCTCGGTGGGCAGAGGCCGGGTGGAGTGGTCAGGCCCAGCTCCCGGAGGCAGGACAGGGCACGTGCGGCCTCCGGCCTCCGGGGGCTGCTCCTTGCCCTCCTGGTGACCTTGCAGAGGGTTGGCCGGCTCTGTCCTGCAGCCTTAGTGCGTCCCCCTGCGGTTCACAGCCTTCTCCTCCGCTCTCACCGCGCAGCTAAGCCTCTCACCCCAGACACCGCGTCGGGATCCAGGATGGAGAAGAGCCAGCACCTGCCGCCCCAGCTGGGCCCGACGGCCGCAGACCGGAGTCTCGATCTGAATAACCGCGGACTGACGCCCGGGGACGTGAGGGCAGTGGGTCTGTATGCAGTGGGTCTCTCCCTGGGGTGGAGATAAGCAGGCGAATCACACTCATTACCCGCCCGGCCTCGCAAGGTCTGCAGGGCGGCTCCAGAAGGCTCAGGAATAGCAGCTGGGCCACTAATATTTTTAAAAAATTAAAAAAACAAAACAAAACAAGTCAACTGCTCCTTCCTCAAGCTTCAAAGATTTGGGCTGAGTTTAGGAGGAAAGTTAATTTGTGGGTTCTTCCTGAGGACTTTGCCCCCCCATGTGGATTGCTCCTTACTCCCTGGAAAGCATCTATCTTGCCTATGAGAGAAACTCATGCAACTCACCCCTAAAGCTGAGCCCCCCCCCCCCCCGGGAATGTAAAGGGGCGTCGTGCTCAGTTACCTGTGGCATGAAAGTGGAACTACCAGCAATTATTGCTCACGACTTTTGTACTCAAAAGCGTAACCAGCACTTGTCACACGCCAACAGGACTCAGGTTGTGAAGACCCCCCTCCCCACACAACTACTGCCACCTTTCGTTTCCCTTTTTCTAAGATACCTTAAGTCTTTCATGAAGCTGGATGGGTCCACCAACGCAGAGTTATCAAAAGAACTGAATTGTGAGGGAGGGGCCCGTGACTATTTTAGTTAAAATCCATGCCATTGTGTTTTGGGCAATTCTCTTAAGAGAAACGCTAACCATGCCTGTGTTTCCAGATGTCCGTGTGTCAGAATTACTAGCAGAACTTGTGGAAGTGCAGGCACTTGTGTTCAACCCAAACCACCGACTTGGGGTCTCTGAGAGTGGGCCCCAGCGATCTTGGTGTTTTTTGTTTTTGTTTTTTTCCTTTTCACTGTGTTCAATAGACTTTTATGCTTCATAAAGGTAGGATTTTGGTGAACAAGTTGAAATTGAAGGCTAGTGAAAACCAAAAACCAAAACCAAATTTCACTCCTAAGCACGGCCTCAGAGTTTTGGGAGGTCTGGAGCTGCTACTTCTGACTGCTGCCCTTAACCTTCAGGACAGACATCTAAAGGCAAACAAGCCAAGATGCCTTACCCACTCTAGGTTGGCATTTCCACTCTTGAGTCTCGCTGCTTCAGGAGATAAAAAGGGCCTTTGAGAATCTTTTTCACAGCCAGTAACTTCATTTTAATGAGCAGTGGCAGGTACTCAGAGAAGGTTCCAGTCAGGCTTCATGCCTGCCTAACCCTCCACATGTTGGTCTATTTAAATATAAGGGGCACTTTTTAAGGTGGTGATACCCAGGTAATCACGATATAAAGAAAGGGTAACAGGTACCCTCAATCTCAGCAATCCTGGCCAACACAGCACTCCTCTGGCTCTCAGCCTGAGGATCCAATAGGATGAAGGGGTGAGGGACTTCAGAGTGTTTTGCAAAATAAAAGGACTAGACCACATATCACAGTGACAGCGGTAGTCACAGTAGAATTACCGTTTCTGCTCCAATACAGGAGCTCCTGTGAAATCTTATGAAGATACTGCTGCATTTTTAGAGTGCATTTATCTGGCAGAAATAGAAAATGTCCTAGGAAGTAGGAAATGTAAACATCATGGTCTCGCCAACTGCATGGCTGAGGGATCCCTGCTTTGCTGCAAGTCAACACGTCCACGCCTCCCTTCTCTCTTACAGGGCAATAGGCGTTGGATCCTATTTACTACCAGTTGCACATGACATATGCAAATCCATATTTTCTTTTGTTCGCCTCCAGTTGCCTTGCTGCCTCTTCTCCCAGACTTGGAAACACTGGATATTTCCTGGAATGATGTTGTCGGTGGAACCCTCCGTTCAATCACCCAGCAAATGCATCTTGTCAGCAAGCTAAAAATCCTGAGGCTGGGAAGTTGCAGACTTACCACTGATGATGTTCGAGCCCTGGGTATGATGAATGCTTCCCTGGAAGCAGCTTTGAAGAGTCAAGGGCAAACTATCTGGGTCACACCCCCTCGGGTGCTCATGGATGAGAGCATATGGGTGATGGAAGGCCATGCTGAGCACTTGTATAACTTCTAAAAAGCTGGGCAGCCTGTACCTAGCACTGTGGTAAGCCCCAGGACAGAGAAGGGAACAGGGCTGGCCAGATGGACACCTGCTCTCATGGATTTTAAATGGAGATAATTCGGCAAATTTGCTTACTCTCGGTCTGTTGCTTGTCTATGAAATTGAGGAGTTGGGGTAGGTAATGATTATCTTCCAATTCTGAAACATTCTCTTCTAAATTCTTCTGCTCCCACTTAAAAAAAATTTATGCAATGTTATTTTTTAAAATTTTTATTTAAATTCAATTAGTTAACATATAATGTATTATCAGGTTCAGAGGTAGAGGTCAGTGACTCATCAGTCTTATATAACACTCAGCTCATTACATCACATGCCCACATGCCCTCCTCAATGTCCCATCACCCAGTTACCCTGTGCCCCACCACCCCCTTCCAGCAACGCTCAGTTTGTTTCCTATGATTAAGGGCCTCTCATGTTTGTCTCCCTCTCTGATTGTGTCTTGTTTTATTTTTTCCTCTCTTCCCCTATGATCCTCTGCTTTGTTTCTTAAATTCCACATAGGAGTGAGATCATATAATTGTCTTTCTCTCTGATTGACTTATTTCGCTAAGTGTAATACCCTTTAAGTCCATCCACGTCATTGCAAATAGCAAGAGTTCTTTTTTATTGGATGGCTGAGTAGCATTCCACTGTGTATATATAGACCACATCTTCTTTACCCATTCATCTGTCAGTGGACATCTGGGCTCTTTCCATAGTTTGGCTATTGTGGACATTGCTGCTGTGAACGTTGGGGTGCAGGTGCCCCTGTGTCTTTGGGGTAAAAACTCGGTAGTGCAATTGCTGGGTCACAGGGTAGCCCTATTTTCAACTTTTTGAGGAACCTCCTCACTGTTTTCCAGAGTGGCTGCACCAGCTTGCATTCCCATCACCAGGGCAAGAGAGTTCCCCTTTCTCCTCATCCTCACGGACGTCATCATTTGCTGACTTGCACATGTTAGCCATTCTGACAGGTGTGAGGCGGCATCTTGTTGTGGTTTTCATTTGTGTTTCCTTGATGCCGTCCACTCTCATTTTAAAAAATGGATCAAAACAAGATTTTTACATTAAAAGCAATGCCTTAAATAGAACTAGAGCCTCAATTACGTTATATACCCAACATAGAATGACATAGAGTGTAGGATAAAACGTGTCATGCTACTAGCCCAAGTCCTTTGTTACAATCCTTGCTGGTTTTGGATGCCATTCATATTTTTAAAAATTCTTTTGGTCTGACGTGTCTTATTTCAGTGGCATGTTTTGAGCATTTACATCTCGGCAAAGATTTCTATAAAAACAACACAATTCTTGTCAAATGTCTTCTCTCGGATCCCTCTGTAGAAAAATCAGGGTCGGTTGATGCCCCCAGCCCACCCTTCCTGTAGCTGAGGAGAAACACCATGCATCTCGGAGCTGCCCAGGTCTTTGTTCAAAATTCTAACCCCCACTTCCAGCTAGCTTTGTGGCCATGGACAAATTATTTAACCTTCCTGAGCCTCAGCTCTCTTATCTCTGAAATGGGTTTGATATCAACCTCAAAAAACTATGGTGAGGATTGAATAATTTCTGTGAAGCACTTACTACATGCCTGGCACATAGTATGTGCCCAACGGTGGATAGTTCCTCCTCTCTCTATTCCCTCATTCAGAATTAACGTGCAGTGGTTTTATGTGATCAGTTTAGCCCCACTGGTTAGCAGCTGGTTGTTGTGTAGCAGAGTTGCGAATTTAACTCACTGCTACTCAGGCATGAAAAGAAAATGTAGTCTGTTTACTTTCTAGGATTAATTTTTTTTTTTTAAGAGAGATCTTCTGTCCTTAGGAAATCAGGAATTGGGATTTCTGCCTTGGGACTTGTTCTAAACTTACCCGGTTCAGGAGAGGGTCTGCATCTTTGTTGCCAAGATGTTTTGTAACCAGCTCCCTCTCCCAGAGTCCCTCTTCTCTCTGGAGGGGCTTCTGCATCTTCCCCCATCAGAAGGGACTTCCCTTAGCCTTGATGGCAGATGGGGTGCAGGGAGAGTAAATGGCTTAAGGAGAAGAGACCATAAATGAGGAGACGTTCCAACATTATCGTACCTGTTAGAGTTGCTCAGTGTAGGATGATAGATGCAGGACCGCCCAGGACATGGACGCTGCAGACAGGGCTAATCGGCCACGTACTCTCTGTCTCTGGCCCTGGGGAATGCTTCAGGGCTCTAGAAAGCCACCCCAGTGGACCGGCAATGGCACACAAAATGCCACCCGTGCTGGGAGAACACGCATTTAAACCTGTGGCTCCTGGGCTCTTGAAACCTGAGTCCACACAGCGAATAACCAGTGGTAAGAAGTAATCCAGGCCCAGAAGCCCACAGGACAGTGGAGAAGAGGCTTCGAGAAACGGGGGACTTTCCAATACTCTTACTTGTCCAGTGTTGAGATTGACTCTGCACGTTGAGAAAGTGCATTTTCCATGCAGGTGCCTCTCTGCTCTGCCCAAGGTAGTGGAGGCCATTCCCAAGGCTGATTTCCCCTGGTCACTTCCCTGTCCTCTCCCAGCCTCCCAGGTGGGTGGGTTTCCGAAATGCCAAGCCCCCCCCATCCTCCTCTACTCCCCAGGGCTGCACCCCTGCTACCAGCTGCCAGCGCCTTGTGCGGTGTGACCTGTTCTCTGCAGCGCTCGGTTCAGTTGCATGTGATACTCTTGATGTCAAAGTGAGCTTCACCCCTGTGGCAGCCGGCGCCCTGTCTGCCCCACCTCGTCCCCTGGCCTAGCTTCCCCATGATGCTGGCCCCAGGCAAGGTGGAGGAGAGAAAATTAGCTGGAATAGTACAAATATTTGCTACCACAGAAATAACTCCGTGAAACCTCCCTACTGACAGGTGGAGTTTTTGCTACAGTGATTCTTGCACATGGGTGTGGCTTCTGAATTTTGGAGGGACCAGAACTGCTGTGCCTGTAGATATAGAGGCTCACCCTGCTGGGAACAGGTAGCAGCTGGGTCCTTTTCTTTGCCCTGTTCCTCTGCCCCCAACCAGTCCCTGGGCCAGTCATTATTATCCCATGGTAATGGTTGTACTGATTTTGACGTGGGTCCCCTGCTCTGTGGGTCAGCAGTCAACCCAGTCTTTGGGCTGTTTTGTAACAGGAGAAGCACTCGAGGCAATACCTGAACTGGAGGAGCTGAGCTTGTCCTGGAACAGTAGGGTGGGAGGAAACTTGCCTCTGATCCTCCAGAAGTTCCAAGAAGGGAGTAAGATACACACGCTTGAGCTTGTGGATTGTGACCTCACATCAGAAGACGGGACCTTTGTGGGTAAGTGGAATTTGGAAGAGTCCTTTCCAGAAAATTAATGTGAATAGGCCCCATGATGAGGCAGCCTGAGAGTCAGTGTGGGTTGTGCTTTCTCTTCCCTGAGTTGGAAGAGTGACTCACTGTATCCCCAAGGGTCACAGGAGGCTGCCCCCCTCCTGCCCCAACATACACACCCTGCATTTTTACTGAGTTGCTCTTCTTGTTTGGATTCACCTCCCCCTAGGTGACTTGCTGCCCGTGATGCAAAACCTCGAAGTACTTGATCTTTCCATTAACAGAAACATCGGTGCCAGTCTGAACAGTATTGCTCAGGGGTTAAGAAGTACCTCAAATCTGAAAGTACTGAAGTTGCATTCATGTGGATTATCACAAGACAGTGTCCGACTATTGGGTGAGTTAGCAACAACTGAGGTTTTTATATGCATGTGTCATTTTAGTTTATATTCAATTTATTTTATCTTATTTATTTACTCATGAGAGACACACAGGGAGAGGCAGAGACATAGGCAGAGGGAGAAGCAGGGTCCCTGCAGGGAGCCTTATATGGGACTCGGTCCCAGGATCACAATCTGAGCCAAAGGCATATGCTCAACCACTGAGCCTCCCAGGCGTCCCTATATTTAATTTTTTAAGCTGTTAGAAAATTCAACAAAATATAAGATGATGGGCAATTTATATCTTCTTTGTCTTACTCTTCTCTAGATCTTTTATGGCAAGGGTATGCTTTCATGATTATAAAAATAACCTTTTAAAATGGCTGTCTCTGAAAAGGCCAGGCTATTTTGGGTTTGAGATAGACACTGGGCAAAAGAAAAGTTACTCATGCTCCTAAAGCTCTCCATTTCCCCCTTGCTTTGGAAAATGTCAGCATTATTTTATGCTCAGTTAGTAGGAAGGACTTGGTACAGATAAAAAGAATAGCTTCAGTGGCATCTGTAGGGAGAACATGAAATGAAATTGTGTTTTCCCCTCCGACTTTCAGAGCCCATAATATCCTTCTCGCTGGCAGTGTGAGCGAGCCTCGGATTCTGTGAAATGCCAGTGCTCCAGGGTAGGAGGGGGAGCACCATCAGTTGCAGGGTTCTACCAAAGGCCTTGGCGCTCTGTGCAGATCAGAGTGTGCGGGGCGTGTGTTTGAAGCCACTGTCAAGTCCAAAGAGGGCCAGTTGGCAGGAAGTCTAAAGTTCTGCCTCCGTCTTGGCTTTTCTCAACCCAGTGTGCCTTCTCGATCTTCCTCCTACACACCTGCCCACTCCCCTGTTCCACACCTGCCTCCCACCCTATAACCTGTCAGAATGGGCCTACTGACTCTCTTCGTAGATGCTGCTTTTCGGTACTTGTGTGAACTGAAGAACTTAGACCTTTCCTGCAACAGGGAGCTGGGTGGAGGTTTTGAAGACTCCTCAGCTCAGCTGGCCGCGCTGGAGCATCTAGAAGTCCTGGATCTTCACCAGTGCTCGCTAACGGCCGCCGACGTGGCATCTCTGAGTAAGTGTGAACTGCGGGGCCAAGGAAGGGCTTTTGGAACCTCAGTAGAGGTTTGGAAATTGTCAAATTTGGGGTGTCCCCCTAAACTTGGTGTTTATGAAGTCCTCAAAGGTGTCAAGTCCTAAAAGCCCAGTGAATGCCCCAGTCTTGTATTTGGCACGATGAGGTGCCCGGGAACGCCGGGGAGTCTAAGCTCCTCCTGCGCGGGTCTGTAGACGATGGACGTGGCACTTGGCGGAGAAATTTTGAATATGTGTTTGTTGCTGCTTCGAAATGACTCTGTTTTATAGCCAAAAGTGAAGTCAAGCCCCTGAGATACAAATGAAATCACAGAAGAATTTGGGGCGGAGGGTGCCTGGGGGTCCATTATGACCTCAGGTGCCTACACTTACTTTGCACAGTCGGCACAATCCTGCAATTAAGGCACGTGCTAGAGAAATGCCGTTGCCCACAACGAACATCACACGCACAGCCTGGGGCCAAGGGCTTTATTCCTTCTGTGGCCACAATGTACCTTCAAAATGCCTCCCGAATCTGACCCCAGGTCACCCTCTAGACCTCTGTACCCTGGTCCGGGCCACTGTCATCTCATGCCCAGATTGTCGCAAGTCCAAACGGTCTCCCTGTTCCCCCTCTGCCCTTCCGACCTCATTCGCTAGCCCTTCCCTCCTCGACATCACCCCAGCCCTTGTCTGTGCTGACCTTCTGTCCCTGGGGCCTTCGTCCCTGCCCCATCTCCGGATCATGGGCCCCACTGAAGGAGCACCTCCAGGGTCTCTCCTTTGGTCAGGTACAGGGGCTGGCACCCAGCCTGCACCCAGGAAATGCTTGCTGGATATGATTGGATGCATGAATCAATCAGTTAAGAACAGGAGTAAAAGGAATTTTTTAGTTGGTTTTAGTACCATTTGGGAAGGAGAGCAATAAAATAGGTTCTTAGGTCTAACATCTGTATGTTAGACCCGCTAAATGACATTTTAGGCTCCCGACTATGTGAAAACTGAGAAGAGTTCAGCCTTTTTTTGTTAAAAATTTTATTTATTTATTTGACAAATTATTTATTTATTTATTTATTTACTTACTTACTTACTTACTTACTAGCACAGCAGGGGGAGCAGCAGGCTCCCTACTCAGCAGGGAGCCCCATGTGGGACTCAATTCCAGGACCCTGGGATCTCACCCTGAGCCAAAGGCAGACGCTCAACCACGGAGCCACCCAGGCGCCCCTAGCCAACAGCTTTTGATTAATCATCTAATGGTACGAGGCACTGTGCCACCGGCTAAGGGAAAGTCACCATCAGGAGCCCCAGCCTGGTAGGGCGGACATAAACCAACTGCATGGGGAAGAGCAGAGTGCTAGGGGGGCTGCAAGGGGAAGAAGCGGTTACCTCCGCTGGGATCCCACCTGCCTGCCTCTCTTGCCTTCCCATCCTCCTTCCCCCGCCTTCCACAAACGTCCATGCCTCCCGTGGCCTAGATTCTGCTGCATACTCTGGGCAGGAAGTGGGCCTCACACACAGAGCTCACCTCTGCTAGGGTGATCTGATAGTGGCCGAGGGGTGATGTGGCTCAGGGGGCCCTGGAAGGCTCTGAGGACGTGAGCCAGCCCCACAGAGACCCCAGCATTTCCCACACCGGAAGGAGCCAGGGCAAAGGCCTGCAGGCAGGAAAGGTAGCAGGAAGACGGCGAGGCAGGGGGGCCTCCTGGCCCCGCAGGGCCCTCAGGCCACCACGCCAGTGCTATCACCAACAGCCATCGGTCCTGACTGCCTGACTTCACTGCCTCCCTCATACTCAGTACTTTATTCGGAGAAAAGAATGATGGTATCGAGCACTAATTGAGCAGCTAATGTGTTCCAGTCAATGTACCAAGTACCTTCCATATACCAGGACATTTGACCTTCCCAATGACCCTGCGAAGTACTGTTATTATTGTTGTTATTGCAATAACTGAGGTTGAGAGAAGTGAAGTCACTTTCCTGAAATCACACAGTTCTTTAGCAGCAGAGGCAGGACGAGAACCCAGTTCTGCATCCAAGGCCTTTGCTCTTAATGTCTAGGCTGGAGAGAGGCTTGGAAGCAGCCCAAGCGTAGCTGGTGTGTGTGTATGTGTGTGTGTGTGTGTGTGTAAGGTTGTGCAAGGGAGGGGATTGTGGGACCCACATAATCAGCCTAAAACGTGTCACTGCTGACATTTTAACAGCCCAGGTAATCCCTTTACTGTCGAGTCTTCAAGAGTTGGATTTATCTGCCAACAGAAAGATGGGCAGCTCTTCTGAAAACCTACTCAGCCGACTCCGATTCTTACCGGCCCTGAGGTCCTTACTGGTCAACGGTTGTGCTTTGGAGAGCGAGACCTTCGCCGCCCTGGGTAAGAGAATTCGCCAGGCCCCCGCAGGCACGCACAGCAACACGTGAGAACACATACTCCCTACACAGGAATTTCATCACGACACTCAGCCACAGGCAAAACCGTGAAGCACCAATTTGTCTGCTTTTCAGGAAATGTGCTCTCTTAAAAGTGGCCTTCTGAAGGCCAGAGGAATGATTCTGGCATTTGCGAATTGAACATTAAAAATCCAAAGTGTATGCAGCCAACTCTGGAGGTCCAGGTTTCTCCGAGGTGCCAGCACAAACCAGGCTGCCGGGAGTCTGCAGGGAAACTGAGGCAATCACTAGTGTGCGAGCCTCGCTGACTGCCCAGCACCTACTTTCTGGCAGGATTCGTTGTCCTGTCTAGGACTCCGGACCTGCTTGAGGTCACGGATGCAGTCTGGCCTCGGTCAAGGGGCTACAGAATCTGGAATGTCTGTCTCTTCGGGGGCAAGAACATCACCTGCAAGGAGACGGAGATGTTTTGAGGCACAGGCACTTTGCGTCATTTTTCAGAATTCACCACCCAGGTGGAGAGCATTGTGGGGGGGGGTCCCCAGGACGACCTTTCAGTTCAGAGATTCCCTAGGAAGACTCACAGCTCTCAGCGTATCACTGTACTACTCACTGCTGCGATTTATTACAAACAAAGGATACAAAGCAAAACCAGCCAAGGGAACGGTGAGTGGCGCGAAGTGTAGAGGAAGGCAGCTGCAAGCTTCCGAGAGGCCTCCGCCAGTGGAGTCACGCAGGACACACTTCACTCTCCTGGCGACTTCTGGCAACACGAGGGAAATGACGCCTTCCAGAGAAGCTCCCCTGAGCCTTCCGTCTGGGGCTTTTGTTGGGGACACGTGCGGTCACAGGTCATGTTTCCCGGCCCAGAAGGAGGGCTGGTGTGCAGCGTAAGCCATATAACGGGTAGACACACAGTTTAGGCGCAGCGAGCCACTCGTACTAGGTAAGGAATGGTTGCAACACATCTAAACCCCAAATTCCCAGGTACCAACCAACCTTGCAAGGAAACCTTTTGGGGGTTGCAGCCTCCGGCCTGGCCGGTCAACTCTGTTTTTAGGCACACACGCAGGCCAGCAGGCTTGCGTCCTGGTGCTCCCTGGATGAGGATGAAAACAGAGTGCTCCTCTCTAATGCTCGGGTGTTATATGCCAGCTGACACTTCATGAAAAATGAATTGTTTTATGGGCTATGACTCATGAAATAAATATGTCCTATCAATAAAGTAAGCTAGTTATTAATATCTGTTAACAGAAATGAATGCATATAATTCTCTTCGACTTCCAAGAACTCTATAGTTAGGGCACGCTCGTCCCCCTTTTGGCCCAAATACTTTGTTCAGCCGGCGCAGACTTGGTCCCTGCTGTGAACTACGCCCACCCCTCTCACAGCATTGCTCATCTTGTCCCCACATCTGGATGGGGAAAAGCAGCAAGATATGTACCTTTCAGATCTGGAGTCCTTCACCTGGGTCAGAGGGTCCATGGGGGGCTGCGCCTGGGGGAGGGGGCTGTGAACTCCCCAAAGTCGACTGTGGTTACGTTGCGGGGGACGCGGGTGGTACATTCTCTGGCTCCACAGCACCTGCTGTCAGATTGCCTAAAACTCCAGTCCTGGCTCGACTCTTGTGACCTGAGATACTTAACATTTCTGTCTGTAAAATGTAAAATGGAATAGTAATAGATACTTCGTGGGGTTGTAATGATTAAATGTGCTGACACCTGTAAAGTTCTTGGAAAGGTGCCTGGCACATAGTAAATGCTCAGTGAATGTTAGTTGTTAATATTAACTATGGGGAGAGAATCTATCCATTTCATTTACAAAGTAAATTGGATCTTATCATTACTCAGTTTAAAAAGACACCATGGGGATCCCTGGGTGGCGCAGCGGTTTGGCGCCTGCCTTTGGCCCAGGGCGTGATCCTGGAGACCCGGGATCAAATCCCACGTTGCGCTCCCGGTGCATGGAGCCTGCTTCTCCCTCTGCCTATGCCTCTGCCTCTCTTTCTCTCTCTGTGTGTGACTATCATAAATAAATAAAAATTAAAAAAAAAAGCCACCATGGCAGCCCATAGCATCCCTTGTAAAATCCATATTTCTTCAGGGGGCCTAAAAGGCCCCAGGTGATGTGGCCCCAGGACCTCTCGGCCACTCTCCCCCTTCCTCCCTGAACCAGTCTCAGCTGGTTTCCTTTGGTTCCTTCCCCTCTCTGAGCTCTCCCTCCTCTCCAGGCCTTCCTGTTCTCTGGATGGAATGTCTCCCACCCCTGCCTACCTCCTGTTCCTTCCTGGGAGGCTCTGACTTCAGGTCTCAGTGTAAATGCTCCCTGTTAAGACAGCCTCTCTGATCTAAATTTTTTTTTAACATTTTATTTATTTGTTAATGAGAGGCACAGAGAGAGAAAGAGAGGCAGAGACACAGGCAGAGGGAGAAGCAGACCCCATGCAGGGAGCCTGATGTGGGACTCAAACCTGGGACTCCAGGATCAGGCCCTGGACTGAAGGCGGCGCTAAACTGCTGAGCCACTCGGGCTGCCCGCCTCTCTGATCTAAATTAGGATCCCCTGTATGTTTTTTTATAGCCTTTATTAGAATTTGTAAGAACATATTTATTTGTGTGTTTTTTCTCAATGTATCTATTTCCCCCATTTTATAAACCTCCTCGAAGGCAAGGCTTATGCATATCTTCACTGCACAGCCTAACCACATTTTAGGTATTTCTGCATATTACTTAAGCAAGTAAACAAACTTTTCAAAGGAGTCTGTAATTCCCAAAATGATTAGGTAAACTCAAACACACACACACACACACACACACACACACACGATACATTCCACTGCTCAGGATAATGTCCATTTAGGGAAGTTCTACAAAAAATAAATAAATAAATTTAGAGACAACATGATGCCTCTAGTTGGAAGAAGCTGGATATATATTTTTTGAAGATTTTATTTATTTATTCATGAGAGAGAGAGAGAGGCAGAGACATAGGCAGAAGGAGAAGCAGGCTCCATGCAGGGAGCCCCAAGTGGGACTCGATCCCAGGACCCCGGGATCACGCCCTCAGCCGAAGGTGGATGCTTGACCCTGAGCCACTCAGGAGCCCCTCAAAGCTGGATATTTTTTAAAGAAATTTTTGTTTTTAATTTTGTGTCTTCTGCGATCAGAAGATAGAGCTCTTCCCAATTACTGCTGCATAATGAATCATCATCAAGTAGGTATTACATTAAATTATATCATCTGAAATAAACCTATCATTCAATTTGAATTAAGAAGTAAATCAAGTAGGGACGCCTGGGTGGCTCAGTCAGTTAAGCGTCTGACTTGATTTTGGCTCAGGTCATGATCTCAGGGTCATGAGATTGAGCCCTGTGTCGGCTCCCTGCTGGGCCTGAGCCTGATCAGGATGCGCCCTCGCCCTCTGCCCCGCCCTCCTTACATGCCTGTACTCTCACTCTCAAAAACAAAAACAAAAAAAAGAAGTAAATCAAGTAAACAGATTTCTCCACATCACTTTTAGAAGAAAAATTCCATTTCTTATTCATAAGTCTCTGTACTATGCAGGTCGGAGGCATTTTTTTTCTTTTTTTTTTTAAGATTTTATATATTTATTCATGAGAGACACAGAGAGAGAGAGAGGCAGAGAGGGACTCGATCCCAGGACCCCGGGATCACGACCGGAGCAGATGCTCAACCACTGAGCTACCCAGGTGCCCTGGGATCCCCTTATTAGATACTATAAACGGATATATATTTGCCCCTTCTAAAGAATAACATCTGTTATTCTTTAGAAAGAAGAGTGGAATTAAAGCATAATTAACTATATCTAGGGAATAAGTTGTTTGGGTTAATTTCAACATTGGGGTAACTGAGAATTAAGTAGAACCTCTTTCAATCTCCTTTAAAAATCTCTCCAGAATTCACTAGTTCCCACCTTGTCTCTGTAGCTGCAGGGAGGGAGGCGCAGACATGCTTTGGTATTTCAGTCCTGAGCAGGTTTGGCCCTCGGCGCTGAGCTTCAGCCGCGACCTACCCGGGAATATGTAAAACCAGGACACGTTCGGGAAATCTCCACCAACTGTCCAAATCCTTTGCCTCTTCCTCCTCTTCGATGGGAACCAAAGGAGAAAAACCCCAGCTGGTTGTGAATTCCACTTAATCGAGTTTTACTTTTCTAAAGTTTCCAACATTTCCGCCCAATAAAAACAGACAACTTAGGTTGTGGTCATGAATTTCAGGCAAAAGGAAACGGTCTCCGCAGCTTCCTTATCTCAGTTACAGTCCTCTGTTGCCCCAGGTTCCTCAGTTCCAAAGAGGGAAGCCTAAGTGATCGCTGTTCTGTATCAATTTTAGCTGAAGCCTCCACCTACCTGCCTGCTCTGGAAATAGTCGACCTTTCTTGGAATAAATGTGTTGGTGGCAACCTGAAGCTGCTTCTGGAAATGCTGAAGTTCCTGGCGGCCCTTCGAGTGCTGAGACTGAGCAGCTGTGCCCTGGTGACGGAGGACGTGGCCCTCCTGGGTTTGTACCTACTGGTCCCCGCGCAGTCCGGTGGGCACGGGAGCCCGGTGCACCTGCGGCGCAGGGAAGGGAGGCGGGAGCGCAGCCAGGCCTCCGGCGGAGCCCTCTGCACACCTTCCCTTCTCTCTGCTTAGGAGAGATAAGGGTGAAAATGCATAAGGGAGCGATGGGCATAGACACTGCAGTGGGTCATCCCAACGTCAGTGCCTCACCTTCCCCACACAGGACAGTCTTGCTCTCCCGGCAGCTCCGGGACACTCAGACTTCAGTAACCTAGCATCTCCCTTCACAAAGTTTGCCCTGTCCACGTGGCACCCACACTCTTACTTTTTTCTTTTTATATTGACTCTTAAATGCTTTTATTTAAACAGGAGACTGACCATCACCATCACTGAAATATGGGTATCACTTCTCATAGACAGATGTTATTAGACTGTTGCCAGCTGAAGGCTTAGAATAGAGGTTCATTCTCTCTTTATTAGAAAAAGGGGAAGAGAGGAGCTTAAAGACATGCTAGCATCAATCTGACCCTTTCTCCATGTCAATTTAGAAAGATGGAAAGAAAAAAAAAAGAAAGATGGAAAGAGATTTGAATAAGGAATAGCTTTTGCACTGCAGGATTCCAGAGGATATAATACGTTTCCTAAAAATCCCCTAAAATCACCCCTGTATTGTCCTCTTCCCATTGGAAACAGGGAATTGGAGAATACATCCACTGCACTGCAGGATTCCAGAGGATATAATACGTTTCCTAAAAATCCCCCTAAAATCACCCCTGTATTGTCCTCTTCCCATTGGAAACAGGGAATTGGAGAATACATCCGTGTCTTTCATCTACCCACATCTGAGCACTCTGCAGACATCAGCCACCAGATCTCCAAAGCAATGAGCACCCCTCCAAAAGATTTTTAGTGACTGACAAGTACTATTACTATGTGCAGTTGCTACTGCCACTTTTATATTGCTTGGATTATTTTAACAAATGTTCTTTAAGAATTTCCTAATCACTTGCAGCTTATTTTTTTCTTTTGTAAATAACAGCACTTTCTCAGAGTAAACTATAAAAGTATTTCCATAGCCTACAATCTTATTACCCAGATTTTAAAAATATGTAATAAGTATAAAATAGTGAAATAATTAGGATACTCACATGATTGGAAAATTCAAACAGCACAGGAAAGTTAAAATTATGTCTGGGATTTCCTTTAAAATACAGTAACATGATCACCTAAAAAATCATACAATCATCTCAGGACATGCAGAAAAAAACATTTGACAAGATTCAACATTCAGTCATAAAACTCTCAACAAAGTGTGATTAGAGGGAACACAGCTCAACGTAATAAAAGTCATATATGTCAAACCTACAACTAATATGACCCTCAGTGGTGAAAAACGGAGACCTTTTCTTCTAAGCTCAGGAACAAGAGAAAGATGTTTACTTTTGCTACTTTTATTCAACATAGAAGTCTTAGCCACAGCAGTCAGACGAGAAAAAGAAATAAAAGGCATCCAAACTGGTAAGGAAGAAGTAAAACTTTTTTCACTATTTGCAGATGACCTAATATTATATCTAGAAAACCCTAAAGATGCCACCAAAAACTATTAGAACTGATGAATTCAGGAAAGCTGCAGGATGCAAAATCAATATACAGAATTCTGTTGCATTCTTATACACTATACACTAATAATAAAACAGCAGAAAGAGAAATTTAAGAAAATAATCCCGTTTACAATTGCACCAGAAATAATAAAATACCTAGGAATAAACTTACCCAAGGATGTGAGAGACCCATACTCTGAAAACTACAGGACACTGATGGAAGAAATTGAAAACAAATGGAAAGATAGTCCATGCTCACGGGCTGAGAGAACAAATATTGTTAAAATGTCCATACTACCCAAAGCAATCTACAGATTTTTTTGAATTTTTTTTAATTTTTATCTATTTATGATAGTCACAGAGAGAGAGAGAGAGAGAGAGAGAGAGGCAGAGACACAGGCAGAGGGAGCCCAATGTGGGATTCGATCCTGGGTCTCCAGGATCGCGTCCTGGGCCAAAGGCAGGCGCCAAACTGCTGCGCCACCCAGGGATCCCCAATCTACAGATTTAATACAATCCCTATGAAAACACCAGCAGAATTTTTCACAGAACTAGAACAAATAATCCTAAAATTTGTATGGAACTATGGAAGATCCTGAATAGCCAAACAGTCATGAAAAAGAACAAAAGAAGAGATATCACAATCCCCAATTTCAAGATATACTACAAAGTTGTAGTTATCTAAACAGTATGGTACTGGCACAAAAATAGACATGTAGATCAACAGAACAGAGCAAGGAAGGACCCAAGGGGAAAAAAATCTATGCTCATATGAGCAAGTAATCTTGACAAAGGAGGCAAGAAAAAACAATGGGAAAAAGTCTCTTCAATGACTGGTGCTGGGAAAACTGAACCCACTTTCTTACACCACACACAAAAATTTTAAATGGACTAGAGACCTAAATGTGAGACCTGAAACCATAAAACTCTTGGAAGAAAACATAGGCAGTGATCTCTCTGACATCAGCCTTAGCAACATTTTTCTAGATATGTCTCCTCGGGCAAGGAAAAAAAAGCAAAATTAAACTATTGGAACTACACAAATTAAAAGCTTTTGCACAATGAAGGAAACCACCAAAAAACATGAAATGCCAACTTAATGGGAGAAAATATTTGCAAATGATATATTCAATAAGGCATTAATATCCAAGATATATAAAGAATTTGTATAATTCAATGCCAAAAACCCCAAATGATTCAATTTCAAAATGGGCAGAGGAACTGAAGAGACATTTTTCCAAAGAAGACACACAGATGGCCAACAGACACTTGAAAAGATGCTCAACATCAATAATCATCAGGGAGATGCAAATCGAAACCATAATAAGGGAGCGCCTGGCTGGCTCAGGCATATGGGAGAGTGTGTGACTCTTGATCTTAGGGTTGTATGTTTGAGCACCATGTTGGGTGTAGAAATTACTTAAAAATAAAATCTTAAAAAAATGAAGTATCATACCTGTCAGAATGGCTAAGATTAAAAAAAAAAGACAAGAAATAGCGAGTGTTGGAGAGGATGTGGAGGAAAAGAAACACTCATGCACTGTCGGTGGAAGTGTAAATGGGTGCAGCCACTGTGGGAAGCCAAAGAGAAGTTCCTCAAAAAATTAAAAATAGAAATACCATATGATCCAGTAATCCTACCACAAGTACTTACCCAAAGAAAACAAAAACACTAGTTTGAAAAGATATATGCACCCCTATGTTTATACCAGCATTATTTACAATATCCAAGATAAGGAAGCAACCTAAGCGCCTACAGATTGATCAATGGATAAAGAGTGAAAAAAAAAGTGGATAAAGCGTGGTACACACACACACTGCAGTATTAGCCATAAAATAGAGGTTTGTTTTTTTTTTTTTTGATACACACATTTTATTTCTTTATTTTTCAAGTAAGCTCTGTGCCCAACATGTGGCTTGAACTTATGGCCCAGTGATGGGATCATTGCCTCAATGATCTTGAACTCAAAATCAAGTCACATACTCTACGGACTGATCAGGTGCCCTAAGAATGAGATCCTGCCATTTGTGACAACATGGTTGGACTTAGACGATATAATCCCGAGTGAAATAAGTCAGAGAAAGACAAACACTATATGATTTCATTTATATGTGGAATCTAAAAATACAAGACAAACGACAAAAAACAGAGTCTTAATGCAGAGAACAAGCTTATAGTTACCAGAGGGAAGGTGGGTGGCGAATGGGTGAAATAGATAAAGGGAACTAAGATGTATAAAAATAAATAAGTCACGCAGATGAAAAGTACAGCTTAGAGAATGCAGTCAATAATATTGTAGGATAAATAAACAAAATATAGTTGTATCTCAGAGGCATTATGGGGTTGGTTCCAAACTACCACAATAAAGCAAATATTGCAAAAAAAAAAAAAGAAAAAAAAACAAGTCAAGTAAATTTTCTGGTTTCCCAGTACATATAGAAGTTATGGGTACACTGTACTGTGGTCTACCAAGCCTGCACTACCTTAGCCACCTCACTTTGCTGGTGCAACCTGAGGGGGGGGGTGCTTCCAACAGGAGCCGGCTGGTCACCAGTAGGGAAGCTGTGACAGAGTCCTCTCGGGTCACTGACGTGGAGGCTGAGTGAGGCGACCTCCGAGGCCCCTGCCAACTCTGAGATTCTGTGTCGCTCGTCTGATCTCTAGTCCAGGCCTGCATTTGCTGGCAAGGGAAGCACGCGCGGCTTGCTTTGGGCGCCTCTCCTAGCTCCTCTCACACCTGTTCTTTTCTCAGCTTCATCACCAACTACTATTTAGCAGGTGCCCTTTTAGTAGTACTGCGATGTGTGCCCCTCAAAGGGAGAAGTGTCCTATGAACTGGAGGTCCCTAAGGTGACTTCGAAATCACCCAGGTGTATCTTGCATGTGAAAAGTGCTCAGTTAAATACTTGTTGAATGAAGAATGGTGGAATGAGCAGTGGACAATTCAACAGCATCAAACAGCAAGAGGACTATTGACAAATGGTCCTCGGTTAAAGCCAGCGAGCCACCACTCCCCACATTGAATTAGAGTCTGCAGGCAGGGCTGGGAACTCTACTGGAGCGTGGAGCCAAGAGCAGAAACTTGACAAAAAAGATATTCTTTGGGGTGGGATTTGGAAAGGAAAAAAGCAGTCCTCAAGCTGTACGTGGGCTTGGGTCCTAAAGTGACTTCAGACATCCTGGATAAAGCTGCTAGCCAGTAACAAATCCTTAGGAACCACCAATCTTGTCATCACTAATCTTGGAACTACTGTGCTACTGGAAGCGGCAAACAGCCACTGGAGAAAGTGTTCTTGTATTTTAGCATTCGGTGTCATTTTATTTTTCAGCATCGGTGATACAGGCGGGTCATCTGGCCAAGCTGCAGAAGCTCGACCTGAGCTATAACGACAGCATCTGTGATGCAGGATGGGCCATCTTCTGCCAAAATGTGGGGTTCCTCAAAGAGCTAAGCGAGCTGGATATCAGCCTTCGGCCCTCAACCTCCCGGGATTGCGGACGCTGGTTTAGACACTTGTTACGTGCTGTCGCCAAACTTTCCAATATCACTGAGATAGGCATGAAAAGATGGATCCTCCGCACCTCACAGGAGGAAGAACTAGAACATTTTCAGCAAGATCACAGAGGCAGCATTCACTTTGAGCTGGGCGAGGGTCAGTAGGCTGGCCTCCCAAGGCGTCACTACGCTATAGGAAAAAACATGAATGAGATTCCTTCATTCAGTGTAATTAGAGTGTCAGCTTCTGGGCTGTTTGGTTGGCCCCATGTTACAAAAGCGTTGTAAAGGGACGCCTGGGTGGCTCAGTGGTTGAGCACCTGTCTTTGACTCAGGGTGTGATCCTGCAGTCCTGGGATCGAGTCCCACATCAGGCTCCCTGCGTGGAGCCTGCTTCTTCCTCTGCCTGTGTCTCTGCCTCTCTCTCTCTCTCGTGAAAAAGTAAATAAAATCTTTAAAAAAAAGTGTTGTAAATATGTATCTAGTAATCTAAGCACGATTTTACTCTCTAATGACAAGGATGCCCTGCATCCATGGACTTCCATTTATTCTGGATGTATAGTTCACTCACTGTGTAGAAGGCCTGCCAAAAATGTTAGATTTTGGTAATATGCTTCCTTTTTTTTCTTGCCCTGGAATTTTCTGCCTCTTTTTTCCTACATGATAAATGTTCTAAATATAAGTGTGAGTGAGTGTGTATGTGTGTGAAATTCCAATGTGAAAGGCACTAGCTATGACAGTTTCACACTATCTTTACTATTATATGTGTCTTAATATGATCTACTTGCATTTGTAGCAGCAAGCGTACCCTTCCACGGTTTATTGTTTTATGTTCTGGTGCTTTTTATCTCAGATATAAACCATGAACACTAGTAATGGTCACAGATATCTGCATCTTGGTAAAAAAAAAAGTGGTCAAAAATTTTGAAACCCAGTATCAAAAACACATCTTATTAAAATAAAGTAAAATTTTCTATTATTAAAATAAGGGAACATTACCCTCTGGGCATGTTTTTTTTTTTTTAGCACTTTTTTTTTTATAAATTTTTATTTATTTATGATAGTCACACAGAGAGAGAGAGAGAGAGGCAGAGACACAGGCAGAGGGAGAAGCAGGCTCCATGCACTGGGAGCCTGACGTGGGATTCGATCCCGGGTCTCCAGGATCGCGCCCTGGGTCAAAGGCAGGCGGCCAAACCGCTGCGCCACCCAGGGATCCCTCTGGGCATGTTTTTTGGCATGGAATATTCTCTGTAAAACCTATCTGATTTATTAAGGTTTTTGTCTTGCTGTAAGTGATTTTTGAAATTTTGGGTTATCTTTTGCAGGAGCATGAAACTCATTGCACAGCAGAAATGTTTGCTCACACATTTCTATTCTTTTTTTTTTTTACACATTTCTATTCTGACACACTTTGGGCAAATTATGTTTGGTTTCTTGTTGCTACACTGGTAATTTATATTGCAGTCGTTGCTTGAATGATATGTAGGATTTGAAATCAATATTACTCCAAAAGAAGGTCATCAGGATGAGGAACTTTTGGGTCGTGTAGATGGGGTTGTTTTAGGGAATTATGGTATTCTTCATTCTCTGGGCATTCCCGTGAATTCCATGAGCACCTATGCTCTCGTGTTTATATGAACATAGGTAAAATCTATGAACTAACCAAAAACCAGAAACAGACCAATATCCTTCAGCGGGTGAATGATTAAACTATGGAACTAGGCAATACTGCTCAGCAACAAATTGATGCATGTGACAATGTGGATGGACTTTGAGTTATGCTGAGTTAAAAAGCCAATCCCCAAAGGCTATACATATGCGATTCCATTTATATGACTTCCCTGAAATAACAAAATTATAGAGCTGGAGAAAAGGTTAGGGACCGGGAGATGGGGTAGATGGTGGGTGTGACTAAAAGGAGTAGCACAGGGAGACTTGTGTTGGTTACGTAAAGCTACATGTAGCAAAACTGCATTGAACTACACACACACACAAAGTGTTCCTACAACTGATGGGATCTGAAAAAGCCCAGTTGATGGCACCAATAAATTTTCTGGTTTTGGTATTGTCTTAGAGTCATGCAAGATGTCAACGCTGAGGGAGGGCAAAGGGTGCACGAACCTCCCTGTCCATTTCTTTGGACATTTTTGTGAGTCTCTATTTCAACATGTAAAGTTTTCGGGGTGCCTGGCTGGCTCAGTCAGAAGAGCATACGACCCTTGATCTCGGGGTCATGAGGTCAAGCCTCACGTTGGGGGTAGAGGTTACTAAAATAAATAAAGTTTTAAAGTAGACAGGATCAACCTCCATTTACCTATCACATGCATCTACAATTTTCAACTCATGGCCCGTCTTGTTTCATTTGGGTCCCTCACACTTACCTCTCCCTGATATTTTTCTGCCACTGCTCCCAGGCATCATATCATTTTAGCCGTAAAGAGTTCATTCAATAAAGTAAGAGTCTTTATTTTTAGACATAATCATGATTCTATGAAAAATTTCAGCGTGGTAGGCATCTTCACTCCTACATATTTTGCCTTCTTAATCCAACAGGGTTCATTATCTCAATTCATTACAGAATTATCTCTTTTTTTTCTTTACAGGTTTTCCTTTTGCATCTTTTTCCCCTTTCTTATCTTTTGGAGAATTAATTCCTTTCTTTAGCAGTCTTTGCAGTTCTTCGAATCTCCCCAGTCCTTTCCGGACCATTGTTCCACGCCACCACGCCTGAATCTGAAGACAAGATAAACCCAAACAGTGTCAGTCGGTATCCCTCCAGACCGGGGGTGGCTATCTCTTCGTTCTGGCATGTAGTTCTAAAGACGTGAAGGATATAATATCATCAGAACTCTACACCTTATTTTCTCTCCCTCTCTCAATTGACCAGTCATTCTGGCAAATGTAAAAAGGAAAACAAGTTAAAAAAAAAAAATTCAGGGACGCCTGGGTGGTTGAGCCTGTGCCTTTGGCTCAGGGCAAGGTCCTGGAGTCCCAGGCTCCCTGCATGGAGCCTGCTTCTCCCTCTGCCCGTGCCTCTGTCTCTCTCATGAATAAATAAATAAAATCGTTTAAAAAAAATTCAGTGCTTTTATGTCCCAGGCGCTGTTCTAGACATTTAGGAAACAGCAGCTAAATGCCAATGTCACTGCCCTCACACTGCCACCAAAGGAGACAATAAACACAGGAATTTATGATCTGCTAGATGGTAGTAAATGGCACGGAGACAACAGGGCACAGTAAGGGGATCAGGAGGGCTTGTACCTGCCTTCCCTCTTGTCACTGGACTGCTGCGCTGGCTCCCCACTCCTTCAGAGACCCTGTTCCCTCCCACATGCTCAGAAGCGTCCCTCCTCTAGTGCTAGGCTCTGAGCCTTTTGGTGCCTCCCCACTTCTCTCAGAATAAAAGCTCAAGTCCTTAGGAGGGGCGTCACAAGGCCCTCTGTGATCTGCTCCCTGACCTCCTAACTACTCCTTCGCCTTGCTCACTCTGCTCCAGCTGTGCAGGCCTGCTCACAGCTGGACACACCCGGCATGACCCCAGCTCACGGCCTCTGCTTTTGCTGCTGCTTCTGCTTGGAGCACTCCTCCCAGCATTCAGATGGCTTAACCTCCAGTTCTTCAAGTATTGGCTCAATTGGCACGGCTGTGGACTGGATTGTATCCCTTCACCTCCAACTCCTATTAAAAGCCCCAACCCCTAATGTGATTGTATTTGGAGAGGGACCTTTGGGAGGTAACTAGGCTGAGATGTGATCATGAAGGTGGGGTCCTCCTGATGGGGTCAGGGCCCTCATGAGAGACACCAGATAACTCACTCTGTCTCTGTCTTGTGAGGGCACAGCAAGAAGACAGCCGTGTGCAAGGCAGAAAGAGCTCTCACCAGAGATGGACCATGCTGCCGCCCTAATCCTGGCCTTCTAGCCTCGAGAACTGGGAGAGAGTTTCTGTTGTTTGAGCCACCCAGGCTATGGTACACTGTTAGGGTAGGCTGAGCTGCCTACACCAGTCATTTCCCAAGGAGGCCTATCCCAACTACCTCATTTAATCAAATCCCCCAAACCCCCAGCACCACACACACACACACACACACACACACACACACATACACAACCTCTGGCAATCTCAGTTCCCCTTAGCTTGAACTTTTTTCCAACACCACTTTTCACTTTCTAACAGACTCTGTGATTTTATGTTTTATATCTTCTCAGGTTCTTATTTCCATCACACTAGACCCTAAGGAACGTGAGGACAGAAAAATTTGCTTTGTTCACTGATGTATTTCCAAAGCCTACGACAGTGCCTGGCACATAATGGAAGCTCAGGGAGCATTTGCTGAATGAATGCACAAATGAATGAATGAGGTGGGCGGGGCATGCTGTTTTACAGAAGGGGGATTGAGGGCAGGTATGAGGATGTTTGGACAGGGACTACGTGAGGGCTGGGAGTCTGGTCCATATCGAGGGGATGCAGCTCTGGGCAGAGGGAGGAGCAGCAGGCTTGGGCCTTGGGAAAACACCCAGGATCCCTTTGTGCCATGAAAATGGGACAGAGGAGATGATGGGGAGTAGAGCCCAAGTGATTTCAGGTGGTGGTTTTCCAGGGGAACAGAATCGCCCTCTAGAGGCGTTCTAGACAGTTACAGGGCTTTTTGTTGCCTTAAGGGTAGGCAGTCTTCAACTGTGGGACAGGACCCCAGTCCACAAAGACTTTCCCAGGGGGTGCACGCATGGGTAGTTTGGAGGCGATCTATTTCCAGAGCTTCGCCTGCTCTACGCACCCCTTCCTACCAGGTGTCTGCCTAGGAACACAGCTGCTGGCTCTCCACGCCTGCCTCGGCCTCCGCAGCTGCCTCTCTGGCACACCTCTGAGCCACCTGAATCTGACTAGGGTGTGTTTTGCCCTGGACTCCAAAAACCTCTGGGACACCACGAAGAAGAGACAATACAAAATAGTCGTACTGAAAACAAAACCAAACAAACAAGAACAACAAAAACACAAATACAGAGAACTAACTGTTGTTTCTCAGAGGGGAGGAGTGTGGGGGTGCGTGGAATAGGCGAAGGGCTGAAGAGGTACAAACTTCCAGCTATAAAGTAAGTAAGTCATGGAGATGAAAAGTTCAGGACAGGGAGTGTAGTCAGCAATATTGTAATAACGTCGTGTGTGACAGATGGGGACGATGCTTGCGGTGAGCACCGTGTAATGCATAGAATCGTCAAATCAATATGTTGTGCACCTGAAATTAATATAAAATTGTATGTCAATTCGATTTCAAAAACAGAAGACTGGTAGTATTGACGTTGGCCGTAGGGACTAGGTAACCTGATTCTTTTGTAAGGCAAGTGGTTCCCAAGCTCTTTGCCTTCAAGAAAATGGAAAGACCAGTTGATTTGCCCACTAAGAGCCTTCCATGTGATTTGGGAGGGATACAAATCTGAAGAAGTTTGGAGACGTGTGAACATTACCATTTTTAAAACAAAATCATAGAGGCACACGCACACACACACACACACACACACACACACAAGCTGCTTCCATTCTTGTCAACTTCTCTATGTAAACAAGGTTTCTCAGGGCTTCATCTGTAAAAAACGAAATACAGGAACAGAACCAATGTCAATTCTGTGTCGTTCCAGCAACAGGTAGTGTTTATGCAGGGATACAGAACCTATGTGGGAAGGCCTCCCACTTGTATCTGTAACTCCCAAATCCTATAGGCCAAAGAATTAAATATCAAAATATATAATGGATTTTATAGTGTTTTGGTCAGTTTTATAGTACTAATAATTGTAATATGACTCAATCCAGGACATTAAAAAACCCTATGGTTACAGAAAAAAAATTCTAATCTTAAAACTTCATTTGTATAAATATTTTTGTTGCCTGAAAGCATGAAAGGTGATCTATAAATGACTTAAAATTATATATATAAAACATTAAGCTCAATTCTTGGGGGAAAGTGAAGTAGAAATACATGCTCAAGAATAAAAAAGAAAGGATTATAACATTTCTGCCTATAGGGGCGCCTGGGTGGCTCAGTCCATTAGGCGTCCGACTGGTGATTTCAGCTCAGGTCATGAGTTCATGGGTTCAGTGGGACTGAGCCCCTCCTCGGCCTCCACGCTCAGCATGGAGTCTACTTGAGATTCTCTCTCCCTTTCCCCTGCCCCTCTCCCACTCAGCACACATATGCGTGCACGCTCTCTCGAATAAATCTTAAAAAAATTTCTGCCTGTAAAATAAGACCTTGCTCAAGTATTTTGTATCAAATCATAAGGGTATTTAGATTCCATTGGGGACATTTAAAATAACTGATTTAAATAAAAGCTTTATTTTAAGATGACAATATTGAAAACTCACGGAAAAGTAAGTCCTTTGCAATGTTTAAACTTGGTGGCAAAAGAATTAAAACACCAATTTAAAAATGTGCAAGAGGGTACGTAGTTTTTCAAAATCTTTTTTAGGAAGTATCCAAAAAGTATTATTTTCCTTTTTCCAGTGTTGCCACTCCTGAGTATATACATATTAAAATAAGTGTTTTAAGATAAATTACTTTCCTTTTTTCTTTATGTCACAGCGCTGTCCTTATTTTCATTTATTAAAATTATGGGTTTTGGTTTAATTTCAGGAGAGTAAAGAAGGTATCACATACTATTTATCATAAAAGAGAGGGTGTTAGGTTTGACATGGTTGAGGGCTGTTGATAGGTGAGGGTCTTGCAAACCAAAGACTGTTCAGCAAAAAAAAATCATGGATTTCAGTAGAGTAGTGAAAAGATCCCACCTAAGTTTTAACAGCATGGGGCTGACTGCTACGTGGAAGTACACTGTAAGGCTAGCAGGTGTGGAAGTGGGGATACTGGTTAGAGGACTAAAGCCATCAGGGTGGGGGACCATGGGGCTTGGACCAGCTGAATAAAGAATATTGAATACTGACTGAAGTGGGGCCTGGCCTGGCCTATCTGGGGATATCCTAGTTGTATCCATGGGTGAGGTGGGCAAAGAGGAAATGACAAGTTTCTTTGCTCCCCCTCCTTTTTTTTTTTTTTTAGGACTTTATTTTTTCATTCATGAGAGATACAGAGAGAGAGAGAGAGAGAGAGAGAGAGAGAGAGAGAGGCAGAGACACAGGCAGAGGGAGAAGCAGGCTCCTTGCGGGGATCCCGATGTGGGACTCGATCCCTGGGCTGAGGGCAGCTCAGCTCAACCACTGAGCCACCCAGGCATCCCGCTCACCCTCCTTTTTAAAGGCTTTTTGCCTCCTGACCCTAGTTAGTGGCAGAGCAGAACTCTGGTCTCTATACCGCTGCTCCATAAAGACTTTCACTTCTAATTTTTCAGCCTTAGTGACTTTGTGAATATAAACTTTTCAGTCCACACTTGACGGGATGAGCACTGGGTGTTATTCTGTATGTTGGTAAATTGAACACCAATAAAAATTAATTTATTAAAAAAAAAACTTTTCAGTCCAGTGAATAGTCCAAGAATCTTAGGCTGTTTTGGGATCCTGAGGTTTGGGGTTCTTTTGCCTGTTTGTTGTCTTATCTGACAAAGAGATGAAGGACAAAAAGGCTAAGATGAGGTTCAAAGATCCCATTGCTTAATTCGGAGCAGATAAAGGAAGTAAGAGTCGCTGCTCTCAATGAGGACGACGTAGAGATGTGTGAAGCGCAGCCCCAGAACAGTCTGTGATATGTTTACCACTGACCCCTCTCCACAGCAACTGTGAATGCATTATCCAGAATTTTTGCTGATTTTACCTTTGTTGCCATTATTTTCTTGTTTCTTTTTGTCTTCAAGTATGTCCATATAGCCTGACTGCCTTCAATGCACACTTCTTTTGGGGGGTCTTCCATGGGATTGTCCATCAGTGTCAAAACCTTGAGGTTCACCAGGCTATCCAAATTCTCTGGAAGACAGGTGATCAAGTTGTCCTCAAGCAGTAATTCTTTCAAAGCTGAAACAATTTTTGAATGACAGATTTATCTTAAGAAGAAGCAAAGTTTCTCTGCCTCTCTCTCTCTGTCTCTCATGAATAAATAACGTCTTCAAAAAAAAAAAAAAAGAAGAAGAAGCAAAGTTAAAACATGCATTCTTTAGTCCAGTTACTTTGAGATGTTTGTTTCCTGCCGTGTCGTCTATCAAGACACCGATTTAATGAGGTAAACCAAGGTCTCTTCCCTCTAACAATTCAGATTGTTGGAGCCAGGGTATATATTAGAGACAGAAATAGAGCACACACCAAAAAAAATCTCACAGTGTTTCATTCCACCAGGGACCAAGGACAGGAAAAAAAAATGTATGGTCAGGAGCATCACATGCCCACCCCTCGACTCTAATCTATGGCAAAAAAAAAAACATTTTTTAATTTGGTCCCACTAGAAACTCAGCAAAAGGCTTGTAAGTGGATGGATGGATTGATGCATGTACAAATAAAGAATGGTTTAACCTAGTGTCAAAGGTTTGGGTGCTTAAATCTGAATCATATGTGATTTTTCATGCCAGTCCCACAGCTCCAGACGTACCCCCCCCCCCCGCCCCTTGCTGACTTCACCACTCTAGGTCAACACTTTTCATTCTATTCAAGTGACTTAGTGACCTAACGCAAATTTGCTCTAGGACCCCCGGCTCCAAACTCTGGCAGGTAGTAGGTAGGCAGAAAAGGATTGTCGGTGGCATAGTGACTGTAAGGAGGAAGGCTAATTTTCTCTGCAGTTGCTCTTTCCTTCTCTCTTCAGTTCCAAATAAACAATCTAACTGCCTTTGTGAGGTTCTTACCTGTATCCGGCACCTGGCCTTCCCTGTCTCACTAGTGAGACCTGCGAGGAGGTAATGGGGGTAGGGCTAAGCTCTCTGAACATTGAGTTTAGTCTTGAGTGAACCAAGGAAGTGGGAAATGCTTCAACATGAGAAATGCTGGCCTCGCACTCCTCTAGGCTGAGGATCTCTACTGAGATTCCTTACCTTGTGCTTGGCCAATGGAATTTGGAAGTTTCTTAAGCCAGTTGTGGCGGCAGTCAAGAATTTCCAGGTTAGGCATTGATCCCAAAGATGTGGGCAGGTACTCCAGATGATTGTTCTCCACATACAACTCTTTAAGACTCTGAAAAACATAGGAGTAGACCATAATGATCCTGACATCGATAAAAGAATTAAGAAAACCAGACTCACTGGTGAGTTCCCATGCTCTTTCAATGGGGATAGTGTGCATTGGGATCAACGAAGAAACTAAGAACCATCATCAAAACATAAAATTATTTTTGGGTAACACCATTGGATGTGGTTCCCAATTATGCAGGGAAAAGAAAACACGGGAATCTCATGTTTATTTCACAAGAACTTTACAGAAAAATAACTGTGATAATTTATATCATTTGCTCCCTTTCAATAGCTAATTAGCAGCAGCAGTTGCTGTAGAACTGAAATCGCATCAAGTATCAATCTAACATTGTCCAGCTGGAAGTAGCCAAAATGTGCAAACGAATTAGTTATTTTCAAATCCACTGGGCAAAAATGTAATGTTTGCACCTCACCCTAAGCTTTCAGAGAGTGTTCCGTGGCGTATCAAGGAGCCAGATGATGAGAAGAATTCTGAACCCAGGGCAAAGCACTGGAGAATCAGGAATAGGACATCTGTGTCACAGGTGAGAAGTACCCATGCCATACATGCTGTCGCTCAGCTCCACAACTGGGGCTCATGTTGTGGCCCACACCTACTTTAACATTAGTAAGAGCGTAGTACAACAAATGTGGAAAAAAATCTCAATTCTTTAAAGCATGCATACATTAAGACACAGGGGTATGGCTACTTTGAATGAAGTTATCCTGTTGCTTTTTTAGGATTTAGCGCAGGGCTGCGTGTGGGCCCATCTCCATAGGACCCTGGGACCGGGTTAAACCCTGATTTGCCCACCATCATACAGGGAGGGAGGTCACATTGACCCATCCAGAATGCAGACTCCTAGCCATGTCACCTATAGGATACTTTAACTTCAAAAATAGTACAATTTTCAGGGGCCTCTTACAAAAGGTAGAAATCAAATGGAAAGTGATAGGGCTCAATTTCTTTTTTTTTTTTTCAGGTTTTTTTTTAATTTTTATTTTTTTGCTAATTCCCAGGTTTTATTTATTTATTTATTTATTTATTTATTTATTTATTTATTTATTTTTATTGGAGTTCAATTTGCCAACATATAGCATAACACCCAGTGCTCATCCCATCAAGTGTCCCCCTCAGTGCCCGTCACACAGTCACCCCCACCCCCCGCCCACCTCTCCTTCCGCCACCCCTTGTTCGTTTCCCAGAGTTAGGAGTCTCTCATGTTCTGTCTCCCTTTCTGATATTTCCCACTCATTTTTTCTCCTTTTCCTTTTATTTAGGGCTCAATTTCCCCAAATAAAACGTGCCAAACTGCACAGCGGAGAGGAGTATGGCATGGCATAGCCTCTTGGCTATGTTCTTTGCATATGCATCCAGGGGTTCAGGAAAACAGTGCTAGAATGACTGACTGTTTGGGGTTGGAAATCTAATATGGAGGATTCCCTCCAGCCTCTGGGGATGCCACCGTGTTTTCTCAGTATCAGCCAACTTAAGGAATCAGTAGGCATGGACTTCATTGCTTACTCATTTGGGGAGGCTTACCTGTAGTTTGCTAATGTGTTCTGGAATATAGGTGAGCTTCATTCCCTGGTCTTGCCCAATGTATAATTTCTCTAAAGACTCTAAAGAAAGGATTTCTTCTGGAAATGAAGGGAACTGATTTCCTGTTAATCCAAGCATCTTCAGCTTTGAAAGTGAGCCGAAGTCTGAAGGTAACTAGAAGTATTCCAAAAAGATAAGTTTCAGGTCAAGATTATTTTGAACAATAAGATAATAAATGGAGTTTTTAGTTTTGAGGCCAATTGATAAACCTAAAGTAGAGCAACTTAGCAATTCTTACGGATGAGAAGTTGGCACAAATACTTGCGTATAGAGTATTTGTATTTGTAGATCTAAAGTCTGGAGTCCCACTCTTTCCCCAAGCCCCTCTGCTCTTCACTTCAGGCATTGCTTTAAACTGAAGCAATTTTAAACCTACTTTATTGCAAGCTTTTGAACCGTGGTGCAGCAAATGCTTGACACTACCGAAAAAGTGCTGAAGTTATCAGAGTAATACCCCAACTGTAATATTGATAAGTTCAGTTATTGGAACTGATCAATCTAGTAACATGACCTCTCACCCCAAAAGGCTTTAAGTCAGCAATTTATAAACTTCAGCTGAAATCTCAGTTGGATGCAAACAATGAAGACGATCATGATTTTATCTTACAATATTCTCCCCGCCAGTAAATAATGAGGCTTATGGACCCTCTGTAGGTATCAGGGAGGCATTTCCTAGACTCCCAGACTGCCAGGCTTAGCACGTCTTACAAAGGTTGTCTATTCTAATCCTTTAATAGGATGGTTGAACATATTCCACACATGCTAGCCATGCAGCACACATTTAAACAGCACCTCCTGGAATGCAAAGCTCATTACTTGGATGGAGACCTCTAATCATCAGATTTTCTTCTTTTGTCAAGCCAAAAATCTGTGTCACTATTATGTTCACCTATTGGTCTCTTTCTGGCCATCTGGAACCACACGGAAAAATCTCATTCTTAAAATATGTGATAGTCTCCCTATTGATTATGTTGCAGAGACACCTATTTTCTTTTCTTTTTTTTGAGACACCTATTTTCTTGTAGAAAAATAAAACACAGTTATAGATCTCGACAGCTTCTTAACTCACTTTGAACCACCTTCTTTTATCAGGCTTTACTTCTAATGGGGAAATCTATTCCCTACAGTTCCCTGTCCCAGCCCTGGCATCTCCCCTACCCATTCCTCTCTTCTTCATGAAAATGGTGACACTTCAGCTTAGCCTCACCTCTCCATAGATGGGGCGGGGAAGGTTGGAAACATAATTGGGGAGCAGCTCAAAAGAAAGCTCCCTAAAGTGATAACATAACAGTAAGTCTCACACATCTGCAATCTTTCATATGGTATTTTTCTCTTTATTGTGTAGGAGGAGGGCTCATTTTCCTAAAAGTGCTCTAAAATGTTTATAGTTTTATTTATTTTTTAATCAGAGGAAGTCAACCTCCAGAGAAACTGATATTTAAGCTTTCCTTCTTGGCTATTTCAAAATTCTTCATCAGGCACTTAGATCCCTTTAATACACAGCATCTGCATCAGTGCTGTCCAAAATAATAGGATAAAGTTTTTCAATCTAACCCCTTCATTATAACCTAGTAACGTCCCTCTTACTGCTGTTCAGTTAGCTCATAAGTATAGCTTTTCTTTTTCAAAGCACATTGAATGTTCAAAGTTTCTTTTTCCCCCGGATATTCAAGATCTAGTAATTAATCCCATCACAGTCACATTAAAGTATAGTGGAAAATAAATCCAGATGTACAGAAAACCTATAGAGAGTTAAATCAGGATAGTCAGTATGGATGCCCTAAATTTGAGCTACAGTCATTTTGAGCATAAGTCAAATGTCCTTTAACAGACATGTACAATACTAATAAAATCTATGTAGATACACACTGAAGTCAGCTACTTTTGCATACACCTAGAAAAAGCTACTGGCCAAGAGCAAGAAATCCATCAGGTAAGTCTTTGGGGTAGGAGAGGTAAGGAGCTGGTTTAAAAGCCATGTGTCATTATACAGAGAAATGCACTGGGAGGTAACTGGAAAGATTAACTGTAATAGGACTTGAGAAAAGAAGACCCAAAATCACAAAAATATCATCATAAGACCTGAATGTTTGTTTAAAAAAAAAACTGAAGAATAACAAGCAATGGTACCCAGAGATCTTCACATCCCATATAATAATGTTGGAAACGTCCACATTTCAGTACAGTTTGACTAGTGGTAAAACCTGGTATTGGGTGATGCTTACCTTTGTGAAGGCACCATCTGTGTGTGATTCCCTCCTCTATTCTGATCTCTTACAATGTCTCACAGGAAAGAATTAGGTTCAGGACTCTTGTTATTCTTCCCAAGGGCACTTTATATTTTGAGCCTTTCACTCTCAATGTGGAATGACAGACTTTGTCCACTGTAAAAGGAATTTCTTACCACGGTGGTGGAATAGCTGGGGGTGGGGGTGGGCAGAGGGCCTCTGATAAACTTCTAAAATCCCCCAAAATGGGTTGCTACCTAAGTAAAGATCAAGCCCCAGATTCTCTTCCTAAATCCTAAATCACCATCAAAACAATTATTTCCTTAAAGGCAGTTTTAAAATTATAGAACTAGGACAAATAGCAGCACCGCCCCCCCATCAAAGTTCTAAATTAAAAATTGAGTAAGAGATTAAACAAAAACTAAAACACCCCCGAAGAACCTTTAAGGCCTAGGACTAGTAGAAAGTATGGGGAGCATAGATCAGTGTCCATTGCCAGGAAAAGCAGACCTATTACTTGATGATTATGATTGTGGATTTCTAAATCTCTTGATTTCTCCCTCTACAGTTGTCTTTTGCTCTTAACAGGATTTTTCTTTTAATTTTCAAATATTAAAAATAAAGAAGCGAACACAGGTGTATGCACCACCCAAATCTTTTGTTCATAAACAAAATGTGTGTCAACTATACTCCAATAAAAATATTTTTTTTAAGATTTTATTTATTTATTCATAAGAAACACAGAGAAAGAAGCAGAAACACAGGCAGAGGGAGAAGCAGGCTCCATGCAGGGAGCCCGACGTGGGACTTGATCCAGGGTCTCCAGGATCAGGCCCTGGGCCAAAGGCGGCGCCAAACCGCTGAGCCACCCGGGCTGCCCTAAAAAGAATTTTTATGTTTTATTTTATTTATTTTTTTAAAGAGAATTTTTAAATAAAAGGAAATGCTGCAATTAAAATTGAGCCCCTTGGGCAGCCCTGGTGGCTCAGCGGTTTAGCGCCACCTTCGGCCCAGGGTGTGATCCTGGAGACCCGGGATGGAGTCCCACGTCAGGCTCCCTGCATGGAGCCTGCTTCTCCCTCTGCCTGAGTTTCTGCCTCTGTGTGTGTGTGTGTCTCTCATGAATAAAATAAAATCTTTAAAATAAATAAATAAATAAATAAATAAACAAACAAACAAACCTGAGCCCCCTGTCATCCCCTCCTCACTTCCTTGACTTCCTTCCTCTTCCCAGAGGCAGCCACTACTAAGAAGTGAGCGAGGTTTTTTCCTAGTTCATATATTTTATTCTTTTATTATATATATAAATATCCACAAACTATGTGTTGTGTGTGCATGTATGTAGTTTTGTGTGATTAAGAGTTTATAAATGGGGATGCCTGGGTGGCTTAGTGGTTGAGCACCTGCCTTCCGCTCCAGGCATGATCCTGGGATCCTGGGGTCCTGGGATCGAGTCCCACATCGGGCTCCCTGCATGGAGCCTGCTTCTCCCTCTGCCTGTGTCTCTGCCTCTCTCTCTGTGTGTCTCTCATGAATAAATAAAATCTTAAAAAAAAAAAAAAACAAAAAAAGACTATAAATAGTGGCAGGTTCTGCAATTTGTTGTCTGCATTCCTAACAAACACCACAATTTCGAGGTTTATCTGCACAGGCACATATTTCACCAGGTCACTTAAACGACTGTGTAGATTTTTAATTTTAGGAGTGTAGCAGCAGCTTTTTGCCCACTGCTCCGCTGACCTTGAGACTGTCTCCCAGGCTCCCTGTCAATGTCCCTATGATGGACATTTTTGAACAGGGCCGCCCTGCACCACCTGCGAAGGGGCTTCTCTAGGGACGAGGCTGTTTTTGCAGTTCACCGTGAGTGGAACATTAAGGCCTTGAGGCTGTGGGTGTCAGGAGAAAGAAAAAGAAAAAGAAAAAGAAAAAGAAAAAGAAAGAAAGAAAGAAAGAAAGAAAGAAAGAAAGAAAGAAAGAAAGAAAGAGAAGGAAAGAAAGAAAGAGAAAAAGAAAGAAGAAAAAAGAAGAAAGAAGAAAGAGAAAAAAAGAAAGAAAAGAAAGGAAGGAAAAGAAAGAAAGAGGAAAGAAAGAAAGAAAGAAAGAAAGAAAGAAAGAAAGAAAGAAAGAAGAAAGAAAGAAAGAAAGAGAGAAAGAAGGAAAGAAAGAAAGAAAGAGAAAAAGAAAGAAGAAAAAAAGAAAGAAAGAAGAAAGAAAGGAAGGAAAAGGAAAGAAAGAAAGAAAGAAAGAAAGAAAGAAAGAAAGAAAGAAAGAAAGAAAGAAAGAAAGAAAGAAAGAAAGAAAGAAAGAAAAGAAAAGAAAAAGAAAGAAAAAAATCTGCCTCCTAAGGAGGAATCCCGGTTGAGGGGCGCAGAATGGTTCCGAATGCAGACTCCGGGGCGCAGCAGCTCCGGGATGGAAGGGGCTGTGTCTGTGCCCCGCCAGGTGGGTGAGCCCCCCTGCACCCCAGCTCCCCACGTGGCAACGAGGACGGTGCCCCCCCCCCCATGCAGCCAGCATCGCACCTGCCGTATTCTATTGTCGTCCAGCGCCAGCACCTGCAGGTGCCTGAGCGCGCAGAGCTGGGCGGGGCCGCGCTCCAGGTGGTTCTGGCTGAGGTCCAGGAGGCGCAGGTGGACCAGCCGCCGGAAGGAGCGCCGCAGCGCCCGCAGGCCCGTGTCGCGCAGGTACAGCAGGTGCACGGAGCTCCACCTGCACACGAGGCGCGGCAGCCTCTCCAGGTGGTTGCCGCTCAGCCCCACCTCGGTCAGCGCGGCGAGCTGGGCCAGGCCGCGCGGCAGGGAGCGCAGCCGGTTGCGGGACAGATCCAGCACGGCCAGCCCGGCGCAGAGGCCCAGCGCCTCGGGCAGGCCGGCCAGGCCGTTGTCGGCCACGTAGAACTTCTGCAGCCTCGCCAGGTTGCCAATCTCCTCGGGGATGGCGGTGAGCCGGTTCTCATCCAGGTCGATGATCTCCAGGTTGCAGAGGACACAGAGCTCCGGCGGGAAGACTTCAAACTGGTTGTGCCCCAGGTAGATCTCCCGCAGTTGGGTCTGGTTCACGATTTCCTTGGGCAGAGACCTCAGGTGGTTGCCGGTCAGGCCGAGCAGCTCGAGGTGGTGCAGGAGTTTGCAGAGGACGTTGGGGATCTCCCCCAGGTGCGTGTGGTAGAGGCGCAGCTCCCGCAGCCTGCGCAGGCCGCCCAGGACGGGAAGGGACGAGGACAGCAGCGGGTTGTGGCTCAGGTCCAGGCCCTCCAGGCTGCCCAGCCTGCCCAGCTCTGGGCAGAGCTTGCCCAGCCTGTTCTTGTTCAGGTAGAGAATCCGGAGGTTCTTTAAGTGCTGAATATCCTGCGGGATCTCCTCGATCTGGTTGTTTTCCAGATGCACTTCTTCTAATTCTTCTAAGTCTGTGATCTCCCGTGGAACGGCAGTCAAGCTCTGACTGGAGGCATCAATGAAAAATGTCCTATCGGAGGCCCGTTGCGGATCATTTTTCCGATGAATTTTAAATGCCTGTCCTCCTGATTTTGTCATGTCCTTTGACATGAAGTCAAATATATTCAAAATCTGAAATATTGTGAAAAGAAAAAAAAAACCCGTTTACTTGCCACGAGACTCCATATCCTTAAGAGAGAGAAAACATAAGTTCAGTTGATTGGATCTAGGCCTTGACATTCTAACACAGCATGAAATGTCGGTTTTTGAAACCCATAAAACATTATGTGTTAATGAATTGAATTTAAATAAAATTAAAAAAAAAAAAGAGAAATGTAGGTTTCTGTGTTTCGTGTCAGGAGATGAATTCAGGCATAGATGCCTCCTAACAGACTGACTTCTATGAAAAGAAAAATATTGTCTTAGTTTTTTCACATCCCTATCTTGATTCTCTTTCCAGGTGGAACATAGACGGTTGCAAAGAAGAAAAAAATAAAAATTAAAAAAATTAAAAAAAGAAGGTTGCAAAGAATTGCTCTTAACCATAAACACTGAGAGAACACCAGGAAAAAAAAAAACCCAATAGTTTAAAATATTGCATTTTTTCTTGAAGCCACCTGAGAGCCGTGGAATTAAACTCTAGGGATGGACTCTCCCTTCCTAAGTAGAGCCCAGCGGGTACTTTCATGCCTGGTGGCGTTTTCAACTTTGGGGACTGGCAGGCAGAGAATACGCACAGGCAGAGGAACTTCTGAGACAAAGAGAAACCAGCCAAACAGTCCAAAGCCGAGCACGAATGGCGTGGTGGATGGGCACGGAAGAACCGAAACGCAGATCTGGCTCTCCTCGGTTGCCTGGGGCTGACTCAGTGGCCCAGGAGAAGCTGCAGAGCAGCTGAAAGAGCAGAGAGACATCCTGTCTTCTCGTGGTCCTAGATCCCTAAGCCTAGCGTCTTTGGCTTGCTCTCTAGGATGGGGCTTTCCTGCTGCAGCACTAGGCCTCTCCTCCCACACAGAGGCCCAGGCCCTAGACGAAGGGCTGTGCTTCCAGCCCCACACTTAATATTATTGCGCCTTGCAACACAACAGTATGTGGTTTAGATCCTCGTTGCTCTATGCCTAGCCTCCAACAGAGCTCTGGGACGGGGTTGCTCTCTGTTATTTAAAGAAAGAAAAAGACTGGGACGCCTCAGTGGCTCAGCGGTGGGATCCGGGGGTTCCCGGATCAAGTCCCGCATCAGGCTCCCCGCAGGGAGCCTGCTTCTCCCTCTGCCCGTGTCTCTGCCTCTGTGTGTGTGTGTCTCTCTCATGAATAAATAAATAAAATCTTAAAAAAAAAACTTAACATTGATTAAATTACATCTAGAATGAACTGTCTCCGACATTTGTCATTTGATCATTAGATTGATTTAATACTGTCCAGTCCTGTAGGGTCAAATTTCCAGTGTCCTAAATATCAAACTACTGACAATGCTGAAGACTGCTAGACCATCCACAGTGAACAGACCAAGGCCACGGTAGAAATGAAAACAGACAACACTCAGGACACTATACCCTCTTAGCTTAACTTCAATTAATGTGTGTAATCCTCACTAGAACCCTAAGAAGCAGGCACCATTACGACCTCTGCTTTACAGATACAGAAACTAACCAAATGGTCTTTTCTCAGGACATAGTAGGAAGTGGCGGCAGGAGCATAGAATTTCTGTTAACCTCACTGAAGATATTAACGTTTGTTTACAAGAATGGTTTTTATTAAAATCAGTCTTGGGTGCGAGCATTCAAGCTTGATTTTCTTCTGTGGCCTTCCAGCAGGGTCAGCTGGGGGAAGATTGCTGCGGACTGGCCATCTGATTAGGGTTAACACAAGTGCATCTGGGCTTCCAGACCCATAAAATGAATTATTTCTCCTAACATTCATCTGGTACCACGATGAGACCTGACTAGAATGTCTGAACGTGTGTGTACATATGTTATCTCGCCAGAATCATATAGCCCACATGTGTCTGGAACCAATTTGATGGCCTCTGAAAGCTATATATATTGTATATCCATTAGCAGACTTAATAAAAGGAGGTTGTAAAGTCAGATTTGCAACAGCCTGGCCAGTTATTCAGCCTCAGTAAATAAGAACGGAGGAGATGGGTTCCTTATCGGCCATATTTTTTTCATAAGGATTGCTACTGCAAAAAAAAAAAAAAAAAAAAGGATTGCTACCGCAACCTGGTCAGATTAACCTGTTACAACCCAATATTACTGCAGAATTTCTAAGTGTAATGACTGTTGTGTCATTTCAAGGAGCCAGGGTTTGGGTAGTTTAATAATTAACCCTTTTTGTGTGTGATTTTTGATGCCTGAGAAAACCATTTAGGAAAATGATCATCCCTCTTACATTTATATCAAGTGTTGGTGGACATTTGTTTCCAAGTCTGATTAGACACCAACTGGATAGATAAGATTAGGGTCCTGAGGTTAGCATGACTCCCCGATAAGCATAAATAACCACTTCTAGTCAAAATAATTTCAAGATTTTACCTAAAGCTCCACCTGGTTGATCGTCTCCCTCTGACACAGACAAGCCGAAAAACTCCATACACCCAGCACTGGAGAACCATGTAACGGTCATGGGAACACCCTTTGCTTTGATAAAAATGTCTGGGAGACTAAAATCCTAGGAAAGAGGCTTAAGTCTCCTCTCAGGTAATACTGAGGCTGAGTGGAAAACTTTTATGCAAGCAAGTTTTGGTTTTTAGCAGGGGTGTGGGAAAGTCTGAACGGTTCAACCAATAATAAAGGCAGATTCTGGGTGTGATGTTGTGAGACAGCAATAAATATATATTTGGTCTTTTGTCCCCAAGTTCTTGATACTAAGAGCTTCTAAATCCTTTGGTATTTTCTGAGGGGTTGGAGGAGAGGGCCTTTTGCTCTTCCTACTAAGCCCCAACCAAGCACACCTGAGTCCTTTTAACTGGGTCACTCTCCTGAAGCCCCAGAGAGCCTCCCGGACCGGGCCGGGGCCAGAGGGAGATCCGCGGGTTGAGGCGGGTGGAACGTTCGGGGCTGGAGGTTGAGTTAATCCCCAGTGGCCAGTGATTTAGGCCAGCGTGGCCTCGGAAGGGAACCTCTAGAAATCCCCCAGACGGCGGGGCTGGGAGGGCTTTGGGGCCTTGAGCACATCAAGGAGGCCTGCGCCCTCTCCCCACAGGCGGCTCTTCCACTTGAGGGTTCCTGACTCGTAGGTTTTAGAACACAGTTCTGAGTTCTGGAAACCGTTAAGGCAAATGACTGAACCTCAGGAGGCCGCTGCGGGAGCCCCTGACTTGTAGGGCCTGGTGACTGGCACCCCAGGTGGCAGCAGCCCTGGGGGACTGAGCCCTCCCACTGGAGGGTCTGTGCCCACTCGGGGTGCAGAGGCCTCAGGGCGCCCACTCGGGGTCTGCAGAGGCCTCAGGGCGCCCACTCGGGGTCCGCAGAGGTCTCAGGGCGCCCACTCTGGGTGCAGCGCCTCAGGGTGCCCACTCGGGGTGCAGGGCCTCAGGGCGCCCACTAGGGGTCCGCAGAGGCCTCAGGGCCCACTCCGGGTGCAGGGCCTCAGGGCGCCCACTTGGGGTGCAGGGCCTCAGGGCACCCTTGGTGCACTGTGCTCAGAGCCGCGGGCCGGGAAGCCGCAGCACCGCCCCGAGCCTCTGTCCCCGAGCACCCAGGCCAGTGACCCTGGAGAGGGGCTCGGCCCGACCCCTGAGCTTGGGCTGTTGTCCCCAAACTACGCATCTCAACGAGCTTCCCAGGACTTGTCTTCTTTCAATAGACTCAAAATGGCATTTTACCCCACTTCAGAAACGTTTCTGCCCTCATTCCTCCACGTGCACCCCCAAACTATAGATCTAGTCATTCGCAGGCAAAGCTCTCCTTTCCCCCCTTCTAGAATGTGGTTTTGCAAACTGCTGCGGGATGAGCACGCGGTGAGGCGCTGACCGCTGGTGGACTTTCTCGGTTCCTCAGACCAGAAGGACTAAGCTTCTCGACCACTGGGTCCCCCTCTATCCGTCCCCTCTATCCGTCCCCGCCCAGCTTCTCCATGACACGACTTTCTCCGCCAGAAGCCAGGAGACACCCAGCAGGAATCCAGCCAGGGCTCTGCTGGGCCTGGCACCTGCCAGCGGCTTAGCTGGGGAAAATAGCCAAGGGGCCTGTTAAACACGGCTTCTCCCAGATTCTTTTAGGTTCTAGCTCCATGTTAGCGGGAAAGCACTTACCTAGACCCTATTGTGTTTCCTCAAGACAGGACTTCCTTAGATTATAATGAAACCTCATGCTGTTGGCTTTTTAAATAGTTACAATAAAAGAAACATTTAAAAAATATTTCTGGATCTTCTATAAAACCATAGTCCAAGACCTGTCTATTAAGTTACTTCTATAAAGATACAACTACTGGGCAGCCCGGGTGGGTGGCTCTGTGGTTTAGGGCCTGCCTTCGGCCCAGGGCGTGATGCTGGAGACCTGGAATCGAGTCTTGCATCAGGCTCCCTGCATGGAGCCTGCTTCTTCCTCTGCCTGTGTGTGCATGTGTGTGTGTGTGTTTATCATGAATAAATAAATAAAATATTAAAAAAAGAAGAAGAATGGGGATCATACACCCTCATGTATTCCCTTCGGTTCTGACTTCAGGACGGCTGAGAGTCCAGTTAGACCTCCACTCTGGGTTCTTGACACATAAGCCCCCAGTGAATCCACTGAAGTTTCCTGGAAGCCAGCTCAGCAACCGGTTTCCCCAACCTCCCTACCTACCCCCAGCCAGTGATTCTCAAGGGGAGAATTTAAAAAACAAAATTTTTTTTTTTAAATTACATCTCTCCTCCACCTGGAAATCATTGGGTTAATGAAAAATGTACTGATGGAAATGAGTTGTACGGGGGGGTCAGCATTTCTTTTTATTTTTATTTTTTGACCATCCTATTTGGTCTGCATTTGGACACAGAGGGGGTAGTTCTGTGCCAACACTGCTCCGCTGCAGGAGAACAGTGCTCTAAGGGCTGTGCGACGGGTTGAAAGCAGGTGGCCCTGTTTGTTGGTCACCTTCTGGAACAAAAGTGCTTGGTGCCTCTTGCTCGCTTAGAGTACCGCTCCTTGCCCCTAGGACAGCAACGAATAAATCTGAGCCCTTCTTGACTTTCCTCTACTCAACTCCAAATACCCTGGGGGTGCTTGGGGCGCTGGGTGCTGGGGGGGGTGCCCCCGCTCATGCTTTAGTGTTCCAAGCTACCCTCCGCTTTGTGGGTAGCACATGGGGTAAATGAAAACAGTATTTTCTAGTCATGTTCAGCCTGAAATGATTCAGGTGAGGCTTGAAAGGCTACGCAGGGTGTCAAGCGACCCCTGGCTCGGGGGCGCGGCCCCTGGGCAGCGGGGTGCCAAGGACAGAGGTCCGGGCCCTTGGGGTCTCCACCTCTGACTGGGGGCAGAAGCCTCCGGGCTTCCCTTGCGGACCTTCCCTTCTGCTTCTCTCAACGCCTTCCTCGTGGCCGGGCTGCCCCGAACCCAAGCCCCTTCCTTCCCTCCTCCCTCCTGAGCAGCGGCCCTGTAAGGACGGCTGGGCTGGTCCCCAAGTCCAGCCTCGCTGGGCCTCTCTGGGGGCGCAGGTGCAGCGGCCTCAGCCCGCCGCCCCCTTCCATGTGCACCGGCGGCTCGGGGGGGGGGGGGCTCCCACACCTGCCAGCTGTGCTCCTCGGGACGCACCGGGCCCCACCTGCGCCCACCTCGGGGCTGGACATCCAAGTACCTGCGCGTCCCGGCTGCGCCCCGCTGTGCGGCCCTGGGGTGCGGGGGAGGAGGGAGATCGCTGGGGCCGGTCCGGGAGCCTCCTCCTCCAGGAAGGCCTCCCTGACGCGCCGCCCTCCGCGAGGCTCCCTTAGCCCCGGGCCCCCTCCGAGCCGGCGCTGCCCGCTGGGCCCCGCAGGGACCTGCACACTTTGGGGAGGACGCTGTGTCATAATCGTCTTTGTAGCCCCGGCCCCGGGGCCCCCGCCGTGCCCCCCAACCCTCAGGAATATATTTTCTGGTTTTTTTTTTAATATTTTATTTATTCATTCATGAGACACAGAAGGAGAGAGGCAGAGCAGCAGGCTCCATGCAGGGAGCCCGACGCGGGGCTCGACCCCCGGTCCCCAGGATCACGCCCGGGCCGCCGTCCCCTGCAGTCATCGTCCCGGCCTGGGGCACCTGCAGGCGGTCGGCGAGAGCGAGGAGTCCCCGCAGCCGGCCGCCCGCGTCCACCCAGGCCTCGGGGCCCGACCGCCACCGCGGGCCGCGGGCTGCAGGGGGCGCTCGGGAGCCGCGTGGTCGCAGCCCCAGCGGGCGGGCGGCCTGGGGCGCAGGCGCATGCGCATGCGCGCGGTCGCCATGACAACGCGTCGGCGCGGAGCGGGAACCGGGACCGAGGATGTGGGACGCCGGCAGCGAGGCCGCCCCGGCGGGGCCCCCGCCTCCGCCCCCCGCCCCCGCCGTGACCCCGGCCCCGTCCTGGGCCCTGGCTGGCGGTAGTGGTAAGGAATAGGGCGCCCCCGGGCGGCCGCGGGCCTCGGGAGCGCCAGGGGCGCCGCAGCACCCTCCGCGGAGCCGGGGACCCGGGGCCCTGCGGGCGGCCGCCGTCGGGGCTGGGTGCTGGGCGGGAAGCGCGTGCCTGGGGCTGCAGCCGCGAGCAGCCCTGCCGGCCTCCGGAGCTGCCCTGGCCCCTGGGCTCCGCGCCCCGACCCTGGCCCCTGGGCTCCGCAGCCCGTCCCCCCCCCGTGGCCCTGCGACCCCCCCGCCCCAGGCCTGCCCCCCCCCCCCGGGACTAAGATCTTCACTCAAAGCTAATTAATTAATTAAAAAAAAACTTGAGATGGGCGTCGTGCTCCGGCCTGAGCATACGAGGAAATTGAAGCCGGGGAAGGTTACACTCGCTTGTTGAGGTCCCGCGGCCGCCCCACCCAGCTGCCCCGTCCCAGCCCTGGGCTTCCTGGGCCTTGGCTGCTCCAGCGCAGGAGGGCGTGCGCGGCCACCTGCAAAATGAGCCCTTTCTTTAGAAAATGTAAAACGTGCTACCAGGTGAAAGGTACTTGGAATACGAGCCTGGCACGGACGAAGAGGGACGTCTGAGTCAGACTCTTGCTATTTTCTTGTGCAACTGGTTAGTCCTGGTTTTAGCTTTCTTGGCAGGTTGAGGCCGGACTTGTTACTGCTCCCCTAATAGGAACACCCGCAATAAGCTACTAGTGCCCTAGAATCCTGACGTTGCAACAGGTGAATTTTAAAGCAAGGGAGCACAGCAGGGAAAATAGGGCAGAAACTTTTATTTTTTTTTTTTTTTTTTAAAATTTTTATTTATTTATGATAGTCACACACAGAGAGAGAGAGAGAGAGAGGCAGAGACACAGGCAGAGGGAGAAGCAGGCTCCATGCACCCGGAGCCCGACGTGGGATTCGATCCCGGGTCTCCAGGATCGCGCCCTGGGCCAAAGGCAGGCGCCAAACCGCTGCGCCACCCAGGGATCCCCAGAAACTTTTAAATACTTTAAGCCCGTGGTCAGGTAATAAGAATCTTCTCGCGACTTTCTTTAGCCCTATTCAGGTTGTAGTGGAAGATTCCTTCGCTCAGAGAAGCAAGGAGTTCAAGTCTGACACATTTCTTCCGCAGGCCTCGGGTATGGTGCGGCCCGCTGAGGGCGGGCACTGAACCTCAGGGATTCTCAGGGCAGTCTTCTCCTTTTTCATTTTTTTTTTTTTTTAAGATTTTACTTATTTATTCATGAGAGACACAGAGAGAGAAGCAGAGACACAGACGAGGGAGAAGCAGGCCCCATGCAGGGAGCCTGACGCGGGACTCGATCCCAGGACCCCGGGGTCACGCCCTGGGCCCAAGGCAGCGCTGAACCACTGAGCCACCCCGGCTGCCCCTCTTCTCTTTTTAATACCGAGGAAGGTAGGAGCCAGAAAGGGAAGAAGGAAGCCCAGTGGGATCCCAGCGCCAACAAGTAAATTCCTTCGAGATCTGTTTGCTATTGAAGTAGCATTTTATAGGTTGAATTCCACGTGAGCCTCCTCCGTTGTAATGGTTCTTTAGCAAGGGGATTGCTGATACTTAGCTGCTTTTGAATTTGAAATTTCCAAGTTGTCTGGAATAAGTGGGTTAATTTCTTAAAGGTTATTTTTAAAAACTATTAAGAAAAGTTTACTGCTTTCATTTTTTAATGTTCCTTATTTTATTTTAGTTTAGTTTAGTTTTTTCTGTCAGTGTTCCTCATTTTAAATCCTGTTTTGTGGACGCCTGGGTGGCTCAGGGCTTGAGCGTCTGCCTTTGGCTCGGGTCATTCCACGGGAGTCCCAGGATCAAGTCCCACATCCGGCTCCCTGCATGGAGCCTGCTTCTCTCTCTGCCAATGTCTCAGCCTCTCTGTGTCTCTCATGAGTAAATAAAATCTTTTTTTTTTAATCTTGTTTTGCAAATTTGTTTAGCAAACTCTTGAGTTCATGTAGTGCAGAAATCTACTCAGCCAAGGATATCTCTTGAGATGCAGAGACTCAGAGGTTGGCTCCTGAAGACACCAGGCTGGTTGAGTAGTGAGATCTCTGAGCAGATTTTGTTTTGTTTTTTTGTTTTTTGTTTTTGTTTTCATTTTCATTTGTTTTAAGAGACCTATACAAAAGATAGGACAAAAAACAAAGATAGTGGTATGTGATGCTAACATAGACTCCACCCCAGAATGCAAAAGATCCTTTTAAATTAATACCAAAAACAGTAAGGCCATTAAGGAAAGCTGCAGGCATAACAGAGGAAGGAGATTTCAGCTCCTGCTTTGTTTGTGTTGTCTTTATTAAGGACTGAACAGAGAAAAATCAAGCTTTACAAAGAGGAAATGGAAAGGCAGGGAGGGCAAAGAGCTTCTATGAGCCAGGCTTCAACTCAGTGTTAGGAGGAACCGCCAGAGCTATATTCAAGGATGGTGTAGAGGGCATCTAAGAAGCTTCTGGGACTTGGTGATTTTTCGGATCCTTTTAGAGTTTAGACTCTCTGATAAAAATGTCTTTATTTGAAGTCATGGAAAAAAGAAAAACAATAAACAAAACCCGTGAGTCACCCTAACCCAAGGTGGCAAAAAGAGGCTTTGGAGTCCGTTTTTATACTCTGCCCTTATTAGCTGTATGGTTTTGAACAAAATAATTTCTTTGAATATCCCTTTCCTCAGCTACCAGGACCAGTTTTTCCCTTGTGCCACTTGCAAGTTAGTGTCTGCCCACCCTCAGTGCGTGCTTCTCCAGACAGCATTTTTATTCCCAATTCCATCTTCCTTTCTCTACTCTTAATTCTATCTCCTTTTCTTCCTCACCCCTGACTCTATACACACACACATTCATATCTTTGAAAGAAATGCAATTGGGGGGGAGGGGGACAGGAAAGGTCCTGGTATAATTTCTAAGTGATGAAGAGCAATGTACTTATCTTTCAAAATCTCCAGAAATTATTGGCCATCTCCAGGAGAATTATTATAATCTATGTGTGGAAAAGTCCCAGAAAATTAACTATTTTATATTGCATAAGCTCCAAGAAGTGGATAAAGAAATTGAAAAGGGGTAAGGAAGACAAATACTTGATTACATAATATCCACTGACATTGGATCTGTGTGAAAACCTTGGAATACTGAGTGATTTGTTTAAGATGATTTGCAAATGCTTATTAATATTGACACACATACCCTTTGATTTGGGGAAGTAGATGATGGACGCGGTTAGTTGGCCTTGAGGGTAGTGGAGTACGGGGAAGAGCACTAGACCAGCGCTCTCCTTCAGATTTGTCCTGAAATCCTGTGAGCTGGATTTACTTATGAAAATCATTGAAGTCTTTGATGTCATTATCAAGTAGAGATACCTTTTTTTTTTTTTGTGAGAAAAAATTATATAGTGTAAAAGTATTTACAAAATCTGCAGAATATTCAGTAGTCTTAAGTTACTTGGTATAAATCTGTATTGTGATACATACCTGGTTTCAGTAAATGCTATTCATGATGTTACTGTTTACGGGGGAAGAAAAAAATACTCATTTCTTTATTGGGTTTCTTTTTTGTACTTTAACAGATTGGAAGGACTCACATTAAACATTGCTGGTAACAGTTGCTTAATGCCAGTAGAAAGAGTAACATGTGAAGATTTTTGGATTCTTTCCAGAATTTTAAAGAAGAATCTATATATTAATGGTATATGTCTCCCTAACAATCATTACCTCTTGCTTTCATTTTCCTGATTTTAATTATTCAGTATATGGAATATCCGTCTCTATTCATCTGTGTTCTTCAGGTTTGGATGTTAGATATAACCTCATAAGTGACATTGGTGCAGACTATGCTGCAAGACTGCTCCAGGTATTTTACTACAAAATGTTCTTAGTTCTCTTTGTTTTCTTCCAGAAGTCAGTGAAGAACCAGTCCTTTCTTTGGAAGGTGCAGGGTTTGAGCACCCCAAGCCTGCTAAGTTAACCTTTTATTGCAGACTTCACTTTGGAGATGTCCATGCTGAAATGCTGCATTAAGGTTGCATTTTATTTAAGAAAGAAAGTGAGGTCACAAAAACAAAAACCAAAAAAAAAAAAAAAAAAAAAAAAACAAAAAAAAAAAAACCAGCCTGCTCCACCAATCAGAGTAGGTGTACTTTAAGGCTTTGTTTCAACATCAGAAGATTGGAAAATAGGGGTATATGTCTTTATTTTCAGTTAAAATGTTTAAAGCAGCCTGTATCATTTCTTTGATACCTCTTAAGTTAGTTAGCTCTTTAAGTTCCTACCTACTTGTCCCAACTGCTAAACGTGCTTCCAATGAGCTTTAACGTGATCTTGCATATTCATGAGATGGCGCAGAGCAGAAGTAGAGTGAAGATTTAAAAAAGAATATGAACTAATTTATTCTCAGCAAGTACAAAATGCTGCAAAAATCATCAAAATGTTCTTAGTTTTGTTTACAGTGAAACCCCCTAGACTAGGGGCACACACACAAAAATGCTAGTTTTGCAAAATGTCCAGGGTCCTGACTTGCACTGTATTTATAACACTTGAAATACTGAAAAGGGGCACTGGGGGCTCAGTCGGTTCAGTGTCTGCCTTTGGTTCGAGTCATGGTCCCACGGTCCTGGGATGGAGCCCCTATCATGCTTCCTGCTCAGCGGCGAGCCTGCTCCTCTCTCTACCTCTGCCTGCAGCTTCCCCTGCTTAAGTCCTGTCAAATAAATAAAATCTTAAAAAAAAAACAAACAAAAACACTGAAAACCCACTTGTGTGTGTGTTATCAGTAGATTGTTGGTACCTAGAGCTCCTGAGTCCTCTTTTGCAAACCTGAACAGTTAAATATATAAAGGACATTCGTACTTTGAATCACCAATCAAAATAGAATAATCTTTTTCTTTCATTTATTTTGCAGTCATGTTTAAATGAGAATGGTCATTTACACCCTCCCCACCCCCCACCCCTCAATGGTAGTTTGTTTTGTTGGACTTTCAGATTTTCTATGTTACAAAGATTTTCTTTGGAGGTAAATACTTTTACTTAAATTAAGCAGCTCCTATACTGATATTTTTTTCCTCATAATTACCTGTGTAATAGCTTCTTTTCTCTTATTACAGAAACAACATAAACTCATTTACTTAAATCTTATGTTTAATGATATTGGGCCCGAAGGTGGAGAACTGATTGCTAAAGCACTACATGTAAGCATTTATAGACCTCAAACTAATATTTTCTTTGGGAATTTTAACTTCTGATAGCTTGTAATTAACAGGGTCAAATGTTATCATGAACTCATTGTGCAAATGTGTATTTTCATTACACTTCAATTTATTAAAATGTAACCTTACATGAGCACTTTTGAACTTCTTTAAAAAATAGCTTTATTAAGATAATTCACATAAAAATTTTCCATGAAAATTTGAAGGTGTTCAGTAGGTTTTTGTATATTCAGAATTGTGTGACCATCACTGTTTTTAGAACATTTTTAATCCCAAAAAAGCGGCTCTGCACCCATTAGCAATACTTCTTTCACTTCTCCATGCTTCTTTCACTCCCCAGCCCCTGGCAGTCACTAATCTATATTCCATCTATAGATTGCCTATTCTGGACATTTCACATAAATGGACTCTTACAATATGTAGTCTTCTGTGACTGGCTTAATACTTTCAAGGTTCATCCGTATTGTAACAAACTTCATTCCTTCTTTACTGCTGAATAATATTCCCTTGTTTGGATATATCCTATTCATGTATCAGTTAAGGATGTTTGGGTTTCCACTTTTTGTCTATAATAATGTCCTGTCAGTATTTGCAGACTTCCGCGTGAATATTAGAAAACGTCTTTCTTTGTGAAAGAATAATGAAAGGAGTGGAATGAGGAGTTAAACTTTGCAAGTGTCTGAGAAATTACATTCCTTTAAAAGTAATACAGGGAGGGCAGCCTGGGTGGCTCAGAGGTTTAAGGGCCTGCCTTCTGCCCAGGGTGTGATCCTGGAGTCCCAGGGTCAAGTCCCACGTCGGACTTCCTGCATGGAGCCTGCTCCTCCCTCTGCCTGTGTCTCTGCCTCTCTCTCTGTGTGTCTCTCATGAATAAATAAATAAAATCTTTTTTAAAAAAGTAATACAGGGAGAATATGGAGTGATTGCTTAATGGTTCAGGGTCTTCTTTTGTGGGGGGTGAGGGGGTGATGAAAGTATTTTGGAACTAGCTAGGTGATGGCTGTATAACATTGTGACTTTATTAAAAACCAGTGAATTGTACACTTTAAAATGGTTAATTGTGGGTTATATGAATTTCACAATTTTAAAAAGCGGTGTAATTTTTTTAGAAAACAAATGTATAGATTTCTCAGTGAAAGGAAAATTAATTAAAATCTGCATCATTTACTAGGCATTGTTTCAGCATCGGTTTCCTGGGAATCCTGACACTACAAAAATAAGCTGGATTTTTTTCATCTCTTATTGGGAAACAATATTTACCTTTAAGGAGTACAGCCTATTCTATCTTCATGAAAAATTGATGAGTTTGCAAATAGTAATAGTCTCCTAACTTATGTAATCAAAAGACAATTCTGTGGAAAAAGAATTTAATGAAGTTTTGATTCTTTTCCTTTTCAGAAGAATACAACTCTGAAATACCTCAGAATGACTGGAAACAAGATTGAAAATAAAGGTGGAATGTTTTTTGCTGCAATGCTGCAAATTAATTCATCTTTAGAAAAATTAGATCTGGGTGACTGTGATCTGGTGAGTAAAATACTTATGAGAAAAATCACCCAGGTACTGCATCATTCTTGGAAACCAGGATAGGGAACCATTACAGAGACCAGCTAAATAACAGTCTTATGAATGAATAAACTTGTCCCTAAATATCACCAAAAATTTTTTTTACTATTAGACATAATGGTGCTATTAATAAAATCAGGTTGTATTAAATAATACTATAGAGGAATGCCTAGAATAAAATTGTTCCTAAGCCTCTATCTATAACCCCTCTTAACCTAAATGGGATTTTTAAAGTCTGTTTAATTAAACAACTGCTACTTCATTAGAAAACCTATATTCTAGTTCTAATTTATTCTATCGATAAAGAGAAAAGTGCTACAAAGATGGCCAAGTACTCCATTTGGAAGGAGGTAATATGCCTGATAGGACAGTTGCCTAATATTTGAAGACGTAATAGTTACGAGTCATGAAGGATGAGAAAAAACTGCCTTGGAAGAGGGTCCATGGCACAACATTCCAGGCAGGGGTCCAGCACACACAGACTCTAAAATAGCGTGGTATGGGTCGCATTGCTATTATGGATTGAGGTAATTTTACTACTATTGTATTTTATCTGTATTTTACAGATGCTTTCTATTTTGAGGAATTACAGTTTTCCATTTCTGGTAGTGATAGAGCTTTAAAATTGGAAAAAGTGAGTGATTTAACAGAAAACTATTAAGTAAATAGTAAAACTGATAAATACAGCAAAAATCATGAGACGTATATGAATAATGAAATGTCAAGCCTGGCAGGTTTTAAGAACTGAAAAGCCAGAATGGCTAGACCAAGGGAGTTAAGAGTATCTCAAAGTGAAGGTGAGAGGTCTGCAGAGGCCAGATCCAGCAACATTGTATGGGCTGTGGGTCAAGGCCGGGGGAAGAGGGGGTCATATTATAAATACGTATCATAAGGCTTTGAGGGCTTACATGATCTAATGGTCCTTCAAAAAGATCACTCTGGCTTCTGGGGCACTAGAGGGTGGAAAGAGGAAGCTCACTTACCACTTAGGAAGTTACTATAGGCGTCCTGAGTACGGGGCTGGGGTGGGGGCAGACGGCTAACCTGAGACCTCTTATGGAGACGATCTCTAAGACTTAACTGATTAATTGCATGTGAGGGTGAATAGACGGGTGGTGAGGAGGCCCAGGTTTTCTGGCACAACACCTGGGTGTGTGTGGTGGGGTCCACCATAGAAATGGGGGAATGAGGCCCTTCCCAGGTGGTCAAGAGGGAACCGTGTGGAAGCCGTGAAAAAGGTGATTAGTAACCTTTCCCACCACACACACCCGAAGTACGAGTATGCATATAGAATACTTGCACGAGGGTGTGTGTGAGTGGTGTAGAGCCCTAGCTGGGCTCTGCGTGTGTCTGGGCATCTGAGGTCTGCAGCCCACAGAACCCTGAGGGCTTAGGAGCAAACCCAGAAGTGAACATCATAGGAAATGGATCCTGAAACTTTAAGCGCTCCTCTCCTGTCTTACAGATTTTAGGGAAGGGGAAGAGAACATAACATAGTAACAATTCATTGCTAGTTTGACCAAATTCAGGGTTTATAATTTAAAAGAGTTTATTTCTTCAAAGCTAAATTACTGATTTTGAAATAGGGAGGTTATATACTTCATCAATTTCCTTAATGAATTTTCTGTTTCTAGGGAATGCAAAGTGTGATAGCATTTGCTACAGTCCTAACTCAAAACCAAACAATTAAGGGAATAAACCTAAACCGACCTATACTGTATGGTGAACAGGTATGTATTTAAAGTGATGAGAGCTTAATATTACTACATGTGAATAAATTGAAGGTTCTGTCAAGGTTCATATTTTTAGAATTTACTGCGTTTACGAAGAAAAACTTATTTTGAAGAAAAACGGAGTTAAATTATGATTTTAGATGTTACGTATTTAAGCAGTAAACCAGGTCTTTTTTCCCCTTGTGAACTCAGATTAACAGTGAGTAAACCTGTAAAGCAGCAAAGTAATCAAGACACAAAGACTGGAGTGTAAGAACTCAGTGTGAATGGTTTTGTTGTTATATTGATATTACTAAACCGCTTTTGAAATCCTGAGTAGGGATGTCTGGTGGCTCGGTGGTTGAGTCTGCCTCCAGCTCAGGGCGTGATCCTGGGGTCCCAGGATCGAGTCCCACATCAGGCTCCCCGTGGGGAAGCCTATTTCTCCCTCTGCCTATGTCTCTGTGTCTCTCATGAATAAATAAATCTTAAAAACTTAAAAACAAAAACTGTATGCGAAGAGCAACCTGCAAAGTCTAGACTTGATCCTATAGCTAAGCTGCACGCTGGACACAAGAGTACTAAAAACATGGTACCTGCTTTCAGGGCTGCTTTGTTTCTTAACATGATTTTTAGGAGATGTTGCAGAGAAGGTTCTCAGATTAAGGACATCAGATTCGAAGACTAAATCAAAATTTTCTGGATTAAAGTCTCAAGGAAGTATGTTAAACTATATGAAATCACATTGGAAGCACGATTCCTTTTTTTTTTTTTTAAAGCATGTCAAGTGGTGTCATTCCCAAATCTGAGAATAGTTATGAGAAGCCCAAGGCCTTTCTCAGGTCTCAGCCTGGTGCTTCTAGGAGTCAGCTAAACTCTAGCATGCTTCCTACTCCTCTACAAGGCAGCCACCCTCCATCCTATCCCTGGGAGTACTAGTCTCTTCAGTGGCTGTGGAGACTTCTTGTGTGGTGCTTCACGCTTTGCCATTCCCAAACATAAGCCTGCAAACCTATTTAAGGAATTACATTTCACTATTTGAAGGAGCATGGAAAAATATGAATGCCAGGTGCCATACTAGGCAAATTGTCAAACTTCGCAAATGGATCTAAAAACCCTTTACTATTTCTGATTCTAGTTCCTTTCCTTAACAAGGGTGGTCCTACAACCAAACTTCTTGACCTTAAAAAAAAAGTTGCAATCAAAGCATAAAACACAAATATATATCCTGTTTTCTGTTCCAGGCATCATGCAGAGCAATACTGCCCCCCCCCCCAGTGGTCAATTTTCATTTGTTAAGATCCCAAACTATAGCTTCCCTTTGGGTATACTTTTTCCAATGTCAGCAATAATTTAAATCAGATATAGGATTATGGAATACTGAATTAAAAAATGCAGTGTTCTATAGAACAGTTATTTTGTGCCAGGTACTTTTTTGTTAATTCTATGAGGGGAAGTATAATTTTATCTAACTTATAGAAAAGGAAATGGAGACTAAACTAGATGAAATAATTTGCCCAAAGTCAAACAGCTAGTATAAAGCTAGTATTTGGATAGTTTAATTATGTAACTCATATACTTTTCATTACAAAACTCATGTACTATCTGCTACTGTGTGGTTTCATTTAACTTTTGTAGTTCTTCTGAGTTATTATGTAGAAGACAATAATATGAGCATACATAGTTATCTGTGTTTGTGATCAGAATTTTCAGTGACTTTTATTATATATATAGCAGTCTCGGGGCACCTGGGTGGCTCAGTTGGTTAAGCTTCCAACTCTTGATCTCTGCTCAGGTCTTGATCTCAGAGTCTTGATCCTCAGGGTCGTGAGTTCAAGCCCTGCATTGGGCTCCATATGCCAGGCATGGAGCTTACTTAGAAAAAAAAAAAAAAATGCAGCAGTCAGGAGGGCTTCTCCTTAACCATAAAATACTGACCCATTAGTTTTAAGACCTACTTTGACTTTGTTAACAACTTAAAAGTGCTTAGTATTCAAATCCTCATTGAGGTTATATACTTTTTGCCTGGAAACAGATTTTGGAATTAAAAATAAGTCTTCCAGTGACTAGAACAGTACAACACATTTAGAAATTTGGGATGATTATAAAAGAGAGGAACTGGATAGTACAGGACTAATGAGTATATTTTAAAAATAGAATCAACACTGAGAAACATCTTTGTATTTTGTCTGTAAAGAGTAGAGATCGAGAAGTTCAGCAACATATGAGGGTTTAAGAAACATTTAGAAATTCTTTTTTTTTTTAAGATTTTTATTTATTCATGAAAGACACAGAGAGAGAGACAGAGAGGCAGAGACACAGGCAGAGGGAGAAGCAGGCTCCATGTGGGAGACCAACGTGGGACTCGATCCCCCGTCTCCAGGATCACACCCTGGGCGGCAGGCGGCGCTAAACCACTGCGCCACCGGGACTGCCCAACATTTAGAAATTCTTGCGAAGACAGCAATAAGGGAACTTAACGTGCAATACATCATGGGACCAACTTTTATTGTTTAGAATTATGACACTTTTGAAAATTTTTTTAAAAGATTCCATTTATTTATTCATGAGAGACAGAGAGAGGCAGAGACACAAGCAGAGGGAGAAGCAGGCTCCATGCAGGGAGCCTGATGTGGGACTCGATCCCAAGTCTCCAGGATCACGCCCAGAATTAAGACTTTTTAAAACCAGCCTCTTTTACATCACTTAGGTCACTGTACTTTGCAAATACAGTGGTTTTTAAAATGCTAAAGTATCATTTGTGGCAAAATTGATTTTTCTTAAAAGCCAAGCCAAAAAAAAAAAAAAAAAAAAGGCCAAACCAAAACAAACTATAGACTAATAGTCTTAATTGATACTTTTAAAAGCTAATTTAAATAACTTAGCATGTGTATGGAATAAACACGTACAGCTTCAAAATGTATTTTAGAAAAAGATTTTACCTATTTTTAGGAAGAGTCCACAGTTCATCTAGGCCACATGTTGAAAGAAAATCACTGCCTTGTTGAACTACACATGTGTAAGCATAATATAAAAAACTGTGGTATAAAACAGTTATGTGATGCACTGTATCTAAATGGAAGCCTACGCTACCTTGATGTCAGCTGGTAAGTGATGATTAATACATTAATCCAGAAGTCCTGGGAATAATTTATGTAAATGTTCATAGTACATATGACACACTGTTAGACACTAATTTCAAAGACCAAAAAATACAAACACCGTTGTCAACTTTTTGTCCTAATAAGCTTTAGTATTTAGTTTCAACTGATATTCTATCTCCTAACAATGTGAATGAGCAGTTTAATCAGGAGTAAACCAGAATGGAAGCAACCTTTTATAGCAAATTTTCGTTAACTTTTTTGGAAACTGAGTGATTAAAATCTTTACTAAATTAGAAGGGATCCCTGGGTGGCTCAGAGGTTTGGTGCCTGTCTTTGGCCCAGGGCGCAATCCGGAGTCCTGGGATCGAGTCCCATGTAGGGCTCCCTGCATGGAGCCTGCTTCTCCCTCTGCCTGTGTCTCTGCCTCTTTCTATGTCTATCATGAATAAATAAATAAATCTTTAAGAAAAATCTTTACTAAACTAGAAAGTAATGTTCTACACAAGTTTTGAAGCATGTTAATCTTTATGAATAAAAGAATACTTCATATTTCAAATGTAACCATGTATTTTTCCCTTCCCAGCAATAAAATAACTTGTGATGGAATGGTGTATTTGGCTGATGTACTGAAAATCAATACTACCCTGGAAGTACTAGATCTTTCTTTTAACAGAATAGAAAATGCAGGAGCAAAGTATCTCAGTGAAACTCTTGCTTCATACAACAGGAGTCTTAAAGCGTTAGTATGGTTTTATATTTAATCAATGAGAAAAACTTAAACATTTAAAATAGTAACCTCAACCCTCTTAAAACTCAAGATCCATGATGAAATATGAAAAGTTTCTAAACAGACATTAAACATTTCAATTTCTTTTTCAAAAGTAATGTCTATTTAAAATTAGATTGATTCTAGTCATGACTGCTTAAGAATGAGAAAATTCTTACCTCCTACAGTATCCTGAATTCTATAGAAAAATTATAATCATTCAATATGACCAAGATAAAAAATAATCAAAGAAAATACTACAGATGACTTTATCCTGAAAGGTGTATTTGTAATCCACCCAAATGTTTACTGAATGATCTAAAACAGACTGGGTTTCTGGTATGTAGCTTTTCTACATACATGAAACATCCACTTAGGAAATGAAGTTTCTTAGATTTTAATTAGCACTACTTTTAAGTATCTATTTATGCATACTCTTTGTGGATATATGTATTGGTTTCCAGGATTACTACTACTTGTTTTTCATAGGCTGTCAGTAGTCAGCAACAACATAGAGGGAGAAGGACTTGTTGCACTTTCGCAGTCAATGAAAATAAACCCCACCCTCTCAAATGTCTACATTTGGGGAAACAAATTTGATGAGGCTACATGTGTGGTAAGTTTTCTTTTCTTTTTTTTTTTCTTCACAGAGGCTTTTTCTGGGGTCTTCTCTATAATATCAGACATTCACAGGTGGCCTTAGAAATGATTCCAAAATATAGTAAGACACTGTAGTTTTGATAAATTTTAACCTAAGTCCTAAAAATTAACCACTGGAAAGTTTTGTGGTTGAAATAGCAGAAGATATCAAATACTACATATTGGTGTAAAGATCACTGAATTATACAGTCCTAATTCCTCCAAGTTAAAACATTTTAAAAATTAGTTGTTGATTTATTCTATTTGATGCAGCACAATCTCCAATCTGCTGCCCAATAATTAAACCAAGACATGGCATTTGGAGACATATACTGTGAGTGCTTTTATATGTTGCTTATAAATAGAGCCCTTGATACTACTTTCCAAACAAAAAGTATTGTAACAAGTAGTTTTTATTTGGAAAGAATGAAGATGCTAAAATTCTCAATTTGCAAAGACTATCCAAAATTCCATCTCTAAAAAGAGTAATAAGATATACTACTTAAACCCCTGATTTCAGAAAAAACATATTCTACACAATGAAACTGAGTTTGGCATAATGACAAACTGGAGTAGAAAGCAACTAAAATTTTAAATCTTTTACACTCTGTAAATATTTGCCTTTCTTTATACTCATAACCTTATTGGCCAACCATTTTAACATGTTTGTGTGACACCCTTACAAAGATACCAAGGACCCGTAAGAGATATGCAAAGAAAATTCTACAATGAATTTGGAATTGGGCTATGTCTAATACTACGGAAAATGCTTTAAATACTACGGAAATTGTCTGTTAGCCTTAGTCTATAAAGCAGCTTCAGGGAGTTCATGAGCTCCATATAGCTGTATGCCATAATCTGGTTATTTGTTGTATTTTCAAGGGCATTTACAACTCTTTCCTCCTTCATTTAAGAACTCCTGTAGGACTTGAAAATTTTGATCATGGGATCCTTGGCCCACAAAATCGGGAATAGAGAGAATTGTTAATTCTGGGAGTCATAAAACAAAATACCTTAAAACTTATTTCTAATTTTTGCAAGCTTATTCATTTTGATAATTGAACAATTTTCTTAATGATAGGTTTTTCTCTTCTTAAAAATCCTAGGCATATTCAGAGTTAATGCAAATGGGCCGTCTAAAACCAGACAATACAGACGTGGAGGCATTTGTGGTGGATGGACATGTGTATCTTGCAGAAGTCTCGAATGGCCTTAAAAAGCATTATTACTGGAGGCCAACTTATGGAGCAGCTTGCAGGCACTCAGCTAATGCAGGTTTTACTCTTGTACCAGTAGGTGGACATCTATGAAAAAACTAAAATAATTTTTACACGTTGTTTTACGTTAATATTTTATTACCTATTAAATTTTTCTTTCATAATTTAGAACATTACTTTTTTCAAATGTGTAAAAGATACAACTATATTAAAATGACTTCGTATAATTTTCTAAAAGCAATTTTACAGGAGAGGGAAGATGGCAGAAAAGGAGAACCCTGAATTCATTTCCCCACCATGGACACATGGAGGCAAATTGCTACACATAGTACAACTCACTTGAAAACCAGGACTGGCCAACAGATCTTCCACAGCCAGGTGTAGCCAGGTGTAGAGACAAGGTCACATCAAAAAGGGTAAGAGGGACAAAGATACCATAAGGAATTAAACCCCTGGAGTGACTACTCACAAAGGTGAGGGCCTCACAAGGAGGAGACATTCCACAATGGACACCCCTGGCCCTGGGGAGTTGGACTGAGAAGACCAGTCTCTACAATGTCTGGCTTTGAAAATCAGTGTGGCTTAACTCCACGCTCAGTGGAGAGCTGGAGGGCCATAGGAAAGGCCATAGGAAGTCTCCACCCTTTAAAAGCCAGCACACTAAATAACTAGGCCCGATAGAGCACAGAAGCAGCAGTTTGAAAAGTGCCTGGGATATACGTGAGGGAGATTTACTGACTTGTTTTAGGATGTGTACAGGAAGGGCAGGAAATACAGGAGCTTTCTCCAGGAATGAAAGAGCTGGTGGGTGCCATTTTCCTCGCTCTCTCCCAGCCTAGGCAGCCAGACACTTGTAGAAGCCAGTTAACATTCTCCACTTACCTTGTTAGCACTGTGTGCCATGCCCTGTCTAACCTGCCCCCTGTGGCAGGCACCTCTCCATACCAATTCCTGCCATGGGGAGCTAACCCCACATACCAGTGTACACGCAGCTGCTACAGCTAGGCTTCTCAGCTGGCTACAGAGCAAGCCCTACCCCTCAGTGTGTCTGCAGCAGTCACAGAGGCACCTAAGGGCCAGCTCTGCCGACTAATAAACCCCCAGCTACTGTGACCAAGTCTCACAGCCAGCCACATGGGAGGCAAGCCCTGCCCACCAGTGAGCACACAGTAGGCAAAGCAGATCACTGCAGACAGAGGGCTGGCCCTGTCTGTATGCTTTAGAGGCTGCAGTGGGGCTTACTAGCCAGCTGTGCAAGGAAAAACCCCTGCCCACCAATGTACCCTCAACACTAGAGGATGAGCATTGTAGCCAGTGGAGTAGAGGGCTAGCGTCATCCACCAGCATGCTAGCATCAGTCATGGCTCGACCACAACAGGTTCTGGTGACCAGGAGGACTGCGTTGCAGGAAACCACAGTACCCCCTTCTACACAAGGCCACAACATTCAAGACCAGGAAAAGCAGCTGACCTAATTCCTAGAAAGAGACAAAATGAGGAGACACAGGAATATGTCCCAAACAAAAGAAAGTGAAACCACAGAAAAAGAGCTAAATGAAAGATAAGCAATATGCCCAAAAGAGTTTAAGGTCATGGTCAGAAAGATAGTCAGCAGACTTGAGAGAAGAATGAATGAACTCAGAACTTCAACAAAAGAGATATAAAATAAAAACTAGTCAGAGCTAAGGAACAGAATAACTAAAATTAAAAATATGCTAGAGGAAATCAGTGGATTAGAGGATACAGAAAAACATGCCAGTGATATGGAAGACAGGGTAATGGAAAACATCCAAGCTGAACAGCAAAAATTAAAATTTAGGTTAAGGGGACCTCTGTGACATATCAAGTGTGTGAACATTTGCATTATATAGGGATCCCAGAAGGAGACGAAAGAAGGGGGACAGAAAACTTACTTGAAGAAATAACAGCTGAAAACTTCCTTAACCTGAGGAATGAAATGGACCTTTAGATGCAAGAAATAAGGAGAGCCTTAAGATGAACCCAAGGAGGAGGTGCACACCAAGACACATAATTAAAATGGCAAAAATTAGAGAATCCCAAAGGCAAGAGAAAAGCAAACAGTTACATACATGGGAAACTCCCTAAGGCTATGCACTCATTTTCAGCAGGAACTCCATCGGCCAGCAGGGAATGGCATAATCAAATTGCTGAAAGAAAAAACAAACAAACCCTGCAACCAAGAATGCTCTATTCAGCAAGATTATCACTCAGAGTTGAAGGAGAGAGTGTGTCCCAGACAAAGGAGTTCATCACCACTAAACTAGCTTTACAAGGCGGTTCTTCTACTTCCTTTAGATGTAAGGTTAGATTGTTTAAAATGCCCTTGTTTCTTGAGGTAGGCCTATATCACTATACATTTCCCCCTTAGAAATGCTTCTGCAGGACGCCTGGGTGGCTCAGTGGTTAAGCATCTGCCTTTGGCTCCGGTTGTGATCCCCAGGTCCGAGGATTGAGTCTGGCATCAGGCTCCCCACAGGAAGCCTGCCTCTCTCTGTGTGTCTCTCATGAATAAATAAATAAAATCTTTAATATTTTTTTAAAGGAAATTCTTTAAGTGGAAAGAAAAGGCCACAACAGAAGAAAGTTATGAGAGGAGAAAATTTCCCAGTAAAAGCAAACACATAATTAAGGTAGATCTAAAACTCATAAGCCTAGTAAGAAAGTTAAAATAAAAGCAGTAGGATCAATTATATCTGTAAAAATTAGTCAAGGGATATACCAAAAAGAGGTAAAATATGGTATCATATACATAAAACAGGAAGAAGGGAATGAAAATTTAGTGCTTCTAGAGAACTAAAAAGACTCTGATCTCAATATAAACTGATATACACACAGCGTGTTCTACATGAACCCCATGGTAACCACAAACCAAAAACCTGTAATAGATACACAAAAAGAGAAAGGAACCAATCACAAGGGAAGAGAGAACTACAAAAAATAACCAGAAAGCAACAAAATGGTATGAATAATAAAGTATCAATAATTACTTTAAATGAACTAAATGCTCCAAGGAAAAGATATAAGGTGACTGAATGGATAAAAAAAATAAGACCCATCTATATGCTTGCCTACAATAGACTCACTTCAGACCTAAAGATGCATACAGACTGAAAGTAAAGGGATGGAAAAAGATCTTCCACATGCAAACAGAGGCAGAGAGAATGTTGGGGCTACTAATACTCATACCCCCAAACTCATATCAGGTAAAACAGACTTTAAAACAAGACTGTAAAAAGAAACAAAAAGGTCATTAAATAATGATAAAAGAATCAATTCACTAACAGGATATAAGTATCTGTGCATCCAACTTAGGAGTGCCATCTAAATATACAAAGCAAATATTAACAGACCTAAAGGGAGAAATTGACAATAACACAGTAATAGTAGAGGGCTTTAACACCTACTTAAATCAATGGATAAATGGTCAAGACAGAAAATCAATAAGGAAACAGTGGCTTTGGGATCTCTGGGTGGCACAGCGGTTTAGCGCCTGCCTTTGGCCCAGGGCGCGATCCTGGAGACCCGGGATCAAATCCCACATCAGGCCCCTGATGCATGGAGCCTGCTTCTCCCTCTGCCTGTGTCTCTGCCTCTCTCTCTGTGTGTGACTATCATAAATAAATAAAATTAAAAAAAAAAAAAGGAAACAGTGGCTTTGAATGACACATTAGGCCAGATGGACTTAAAAGATATACACAGAATTTTCCACCCTAAAACAGCAGAATATCTATTCAAGTGTACATACATTCTCCAGGACAGATCACATGGTAGGCCATAAAACAAGTCTATGAAGACTGAAATCCTATCAAGCATCTTTTCCCACCATAACAGTATGAAACTAGAAAGAAATCAATTACAAGAAAACTGGAAGAAACACAAAATACCTTAAAGCTAAACAGTATGTTACTAAGAACCAATGATCAACAAAGAAACAAGAAATCAAAACTACTTGGAGACAAAAATGGAAACACTACAGTTCAAAATCTTTAGGACACAGCAAAGCATTTTTAGGATGTTATTTATTCATGAGAGACACAGAGACAGGCAGACACACACAGGTAGAGGGAGAAGCAGGCTCCCTGCAAGGAGCGTGATGTGGGACTCGATACCAGGACCCCAGGATCACGTCCTGAGCCAAAGGCAGACGGTCAACCACTGAGCCACCCATGCATCCTGCAAAAGCATTTCTAAGAGGGAAATGTATAGTGATACAGGCCTACCTCAAGAAACAACATTTTAAACAATCTAACCTTACATCTAAAGGAACTAGAAACCGAAGTACCAACAAAGCCCACAGTCAGTGGAAGAAAGGAAATAGTAAAGATTAGAGTGGAAATAAATGAAATAGAGACTAAAAAAACAACAGAGAAGATCAATGAGACAAAGAGTTGGTTCTTTGAAAAGATAAACAAAATTGATAAAACTTTAGCCAGACTAATAAAAAAAAACTCAAAATCAGAAATGAAAAATAAGTTAAAACTGACACCATAAAAATACAAAAAAATATAAGCAATTACTACAAAAAACTATATGCCAAGAAACTGGACAACCTAGAAGAAGCAGACTTTCTAAAAACACAATCTTCCAACTGAATCAAGAAGAAATAGAAAATCTAAACAGGCCAATTACTAGTAACAAAATTGGACCAGTGATTTAAAAAACTCCCAACAAAAATCCAGGATCAGATGACTTCACAGGGGAATTCTACCAAATATTTAAAGAAATGTTTATACCTATCCTCAGGCTATCCCAAAAAATAGAAGAGGGAGAAGTTCTCCAAAATCCATTCTATGAGGTCAGCATTATCCTGACACCAACACCAAAGAGACTACCAAAAAAAAAAAAAAAAAAAGTAAACTATAAGCCATTAATTCCTGACGAACATAAATGCAAAAATCCTCGATAAAATATTTTAGTGAACAGAATTCAAAAAAATACATTACAAGATAATTCACTATGATCAAGTCATATTTATTCCAGGGATGTAATGTTTCAATACCTGCAAATCAACTGACATGATATACATTAACAATATGAAGGATAAAAGTCATTTGATCATCTCAGTAGATGCAGGAAAAAGGATGAAAATTGAACATCCATTGATGATAAAAACTCAAAGTGGGCACAGAAGGAACATCCCTCAACAGAATAAAAGACATAAATGACAAACCCAAAGCTAACATCATAATGGTAAAAAGCTGAAAGTTTTCCCCTATGATCAGAAACAAGTATGTCCACTTTCACCACTTATACTTAATATGTACTAGAAGTCCTAGCCATAGCACTCAGACAAAAATAAAAGGCATCTGAATTGGTAAGGAAGAAGTAAAACTGTCAATTTGCAGACGATACTAATTATAGAAAACACTAAAGACTCCACCAAAAAATTATTTAGAATCAAATGAATTCAGTTAAGTTGCAGGATACACAATATTACAGCAGAAAATTAAGAAAACAGTCCTATAAACAACTGTTATCAAAAAGAATAAAATACTGGGGTGCCTGTCTGGCTCAGTCAGAAGAGCATGTGACTCTTGTGAGTTTGAGTCCCACTTTGGGTGTAGAGCTTTCCTAAAAAAAATTAAGGTTAAAAAAAAAAAAAGACACTGATGAAAGAAATTGAGGACAACACAAACAATGGAAAGACTCACAGAAGACTTAATATTGTTAAAACATCCATACTACCCAAAGCAATTTACAGAATTAATGCAATCCTTATCAAAATACTAATGGCATTTTTCACATAACTAGAAAAGAAAAATCCTAAAATTTGAATAGAACCACTTAAGACCCTGAATAACTGAAGCAGTCTTGACATATCACAATCTGAGATTTCAAACTATGCAACAAAGCTGTAATAATTAAAACATGGTACTGGCACAAAAACCAACACCTAGATGAATGGAATAGAACTGAGAGTTCAGGAAAAAACCCCATGTTTATATGGTTAATTAACCTATGACAAAGGAGGCAAGAATACACAATGGAGAAAAGACAGTCTCTTCAATAAATGGTCTTGGGAAAACAGGACCACTTTCTTAAGCCATACACAAAAGTAAACTCAAAATGGGTTAAAGACCTAAATGTAAAAGACCTGAAACCACAAAACTCTTAAAGAAAAACATAGGCCGTGCTGTAATCTCTTGGCCATCAGTCTTGGCAGTATTTTTCTGGAAATGTCTCCTCAGGCAAGAGGAAAAAAAGCAAAAATAAACAACTGGGACTATATCCAATTAAAAAGCTTTTGCACGGTGAGGAAAAGAGTCAAAACACATAAGCAACCTATTGAATGGGAGAAGATATTTGCAACTGACATTTACAAAAAGAAGTTAATATCCAAAATATATATAAAGAACTCCTACAACTAGAAACCAAAAACCCCAAACAATTTAACCTGAATGGACATTTTTCCAAGGATATACAGATGGCCACAGACACATGAAAAGATGCTCAGCATCGCTAATCATCAGGGAAATGCAAATCAAAACCACAATTATATCACTTCACACCTGTCAGAATGGCTAGTATCAAAATTACTGGAGCTAAGTGTTAGGAGAAAACTATTGGTGTGGAGAAAAGGGAACCCTTATGGGCTGCTGATGAGAATGTAAATTGGTACCAACACTATGGAAGACCGTATGGAAATTCCTCCAAAAAAATAAAAATATAACTACCATATGATCTAGCAATTCCATTTGTATGCATTTACCCAAAGAAAACAAAACCATTATTTTGAAAAGATATGCATCCCTACGTTTATAGCAGCTTTATTTATAACACCCAGGATACAGAAGCAACCTAAGTGTCCATCAATAGATGAATGGAGAAAGATGTGGTAGAGATACACAATGGACTATTAATCATAAAAAAGAAAGAAATCTTGCCATTGGCAACACTGATGGACCTAAAGGTTATGGTATGTGAGATAAGTTGATGGAGAAAGACAACATATGCTTTCACTTATATGTGGAATCAGAAACAAATGAACAAAGAAAAACAGACGACAAACTACTGGTTGACAGAGGGGAGGGATATGAAAAGATAGACAAATCAGATGAAAGAGATTAAGAGGTACAAATTTCCAATCTTATTAAAGTAAGTTATAATGAAAAAGTACAGCATAGAGAACATATGCAATAATCTTGTAATAACACCGTACAGTGACAGATGGTATCTACACTTATCACAGTGAGCATTTCGTAATGTATGTAGATCATTGCCAGATCTCTATGTTGTACCCCTGAAACTAACGTTTCAACTATACATCAATTAAAAAAATAAAACAAGGGATCCCTGGGTGGCGCAGCGGTTTGGCGCCTGCCTTTGGCCCAGGGCGCGGTCCTGGAGGCCCGGGATCAAATCCCACGTTGGGCTCCCGGTGCATGGAGCCTGCTTCTCCCTCTGCCTGTGTCTCTGCCTCTCTCTCTCTCTCTCTCTCTCTCTCTCTCTCTCTGTGTGTGTGTGTGTGTGTGACTATCATAAATAAATAAAAATTTTAAAAAAAATTTTTTTAAAAATAAAAAAGGGCTGGGAGCCGGGAGCCGGGGGGGGGGGGGGGGAGGGAGAAAAGAAACTAAAATTTTAACGATGGAGGAAAAAAAACTACAAGGAATTAAACTAACTTGTTTTTCAAAAGAAAATATTATTAGGGACGCCTGGGTAGCTCAGCAGTTGAACATCTGCCTTTGGCTCAGGATGTGATCCTAGGGTCTGGGATTGAGTCCCACTTCCTGCGGGGAGCCTGCTTCTCCCTCTGCTTGTGTCTCTGCTTCTCCCTTCTCCCTCTCTCTCTCATGAATAAATAAATAAAAATCTAAAAAAAAAAAATAAAAAATATCATTAAATAATAGAATAGCATAAAAAGAAAAAGTCATTATAGGTATCCTAACTGAAAGTTGTCATGAAATGGTAAAAAGGGTTCAGGTGGCAGACCGCCAAGGAATTTCACGGGGTTTAGAAGTTGAAAAAATATTTTATATATCTCATTTAGGTAATTATACTTGTCAATACAATTTCACAAATACAGGTTAAACACTTATATTACAAATACATGTAAATGTATGCTTTCCAAGTTAGTGATGCCAGTGAACTTTTTAAGATTGTTCTCTTTTAGAAGATGTCAGTAGATTTTAATGATTTGATGGCAAGTAATTACTGTAGTCTATGGCCAATCTTGTTTTCAAATTAAGATTCCTATGAGGATGCAACCGATACTATGATGCTTTGATTATAGACTTATATTCACAAATTTATTCACACACACCAAGAAAAGGCTGCTTCATTTGAAGGATTTACTTGTCAAGCAAAGTGTGAAAAAAGACATGTGGACAGTTTTAAAAGGTTAATTTAAGCTGAGGTTTTGCAGTCTACAAGAAAATACCATTTATCTCTAAATGTCATAGGGAGGAGGTGGATTAAGGTGGGGGTCAACTTTACTGTTGTCTAAGTACTGGCCTTCACTTACAGTATTGCAAATTCCCTCAATCATAGCTGTATTTTTTAAATATTAGTATATCAAATAAAGCTCACATCTGCCCAGTCCTTTGGTAGATTAAATAATTAAGATCAATATCCCCTACTCATTATTATTTAATGATTCTTGAAGTTTTACCAGTCTTTCCTTATATTTGGCACCTA